ATGGTAACGACACGCTATATATATATAAGGGATTTCTAAGTTACCGTTAATCTGATAATATATAATATTCAAAAATTGTTGTTTTTGTAAATAAACTCGCATTCGAGTATTCATAGAACGTGTTCAACAAAACATTTAGAATAGCAAATTTATTCTAAATGTTTTGTTGGGTTCGTTTTCTATTGTATACGTTTTCTTTTGTATATGTTCAAAATGGATTTTATTTGAGTTAGTATAAAATACTTATAGTTTGTTTGTACTATGGTAAAATGAAATAACAAAGATAATAAATTTCTTAATAGATAATAATTATCCGAACGAGATGCCGTGATCAATTAAAGTCTCTTTTGTTTTTCTTAAATAAACAAAACAGTGCTCCACTGATAAAGATTTGCCACACCATTATAATAATCGTTCATCGCAAACAATAGTTTTTCGTCAATTATCAATAAAAAGTGCTTGTCTTTCTCATTTAAAATTATCTAAAGATAAAATTTTTCGTCCGATTGTCTCTTTTTGCGTGTTGTTCTTTTGATTACCCTTAATCGTGGAAACAACTAGAAGTGTCATTTAATCACGTGACCTTTGATACCCAATAATTGTTTATCTAAATAATTATTGGGTATATTTTTTAATTCATTCATTGAAGAGAAAGTGCACGCACTTTTATTAAAATATCAATCATAGTATCAAAAGGAACTTTTCTTCAACTATATTTATTATTCATAACCATTACACATTTTATAGAAAGAACATTTTTTTTTGAATACCTATGTAACATAATCGTTATAACTATATACATATAAAAGCGATTATATATATTTGCCGATGATACTTCATTAATTTTTAAAATCGATCGACTTTTTAATACTCTTGACGAGGTCTATGTCAGAAACAGCCAATTGGTTTAATGCTAACAGTTTACTATTAAATGCCAATAAAACTAAATGTATAAAATTTTCAACACGTAATGTTAAACATTTGGGAGCTACCGATGTTCTTATAAATGGGGAGGAGTTAAGCCTTGTGGAAACGACTGTTTTTTTTAGAGTTACTCTTGAGCATAATTTCAATGTTGCCCCTACATATTCATACTTGCTAATAGACTAAGTACTGCGGCGTATGCTATTAGGAAAATAAGATGTCTAACTGGCGTTAAAACAGCTAGAGTTGTTTATTTTAGTTAATTCCATAGCATAATGTCATATAGTATTTTGCTATGGGGACACGCAGCCGATATAGAAACAATTTTTATTTTGCAAAAAAGGGCCATAAGAGCAATTTATAATCTAGACATGAATGTCTCTGAGAGAGAAATTAAAAGAAATAAATATATTAACTTAAATATATAAAAATGTAATGTATGTACGTAGACATATTAATAATTTTGATAAGAATGCTAATGTTCATAATGTAAATACTAGGAAAAAACACAAACTTGTATCGCCAGTTACTAGACTCCATAGTAACTCGTTCATGGGGCAATGTTTACGCTTCTACAGTAAATGCGCAAAGCCGGCCTATCAACAGGTTTAAGAAATTTATTAAGTAAAGAAAAACTTTATAAAAAGGGTTATTATAATATAAATGAATGGATTAATGACAACCCCTGGGAATGAGTTGATCGCTCCAAAGTCATTTCTAAAAGAAAAATTTGTTGTAGGTATAATATTTTAATTTTGTTGAGAAAAAAAAATTGACAAAAAAGAGGATATCTACGGAGTTTCTTTCGCCTGTTTCTTCTCCGTTAGAGGAACCTCATTATGAAACGGTGGTAGATAAAAAAAAGACTATTGATAAATGAAATGTATTTGTGTTTCGATGAATAACTAATTTTAATTTTTTAATTTTGATAAATCAATCTAAGAGCTTTTGATTTTATAACTGGCTATGTAAATTATTTTCAATGGCGTTAATTGATTTTGATATACATACAACCAGGTTATTTTAATTTAAATATGAATTGTGTTATGCAATGAAATGTTTTTAAAGAGTGAAATAGATGTCAACGCATAATATATCAATCATTGATGTTTAATAATAAATACAGATGACGCATTTCCATACTGCGCGGCGTTCTTGTTCCGTTTAGCATTAAATGACATATATAAGTGAATGTGACAGATGATATAGTGTATGATGCGGAAAGAGATGGCAGTCTATAGAATGGCAGTCTAATTAATCAAATGGCGTAATTTTTACCCCAATTGGCATCTACTTCTTATTTGTATATAATATCATCGATATAAATGGTGCGATAGGAAATTAAAAGATTAACATCTGCAGCTTTAATTAGTAAGTACCTAAGTATAAAGTATATGGTAGGTACGCATTTTATGTTTGCCATCAGGTAGCCAAGCTCTGGTCAATTTAAATAGAATAAACAAATAGATGTAGGTACCTACTTTATATAACATCAATTTGCATATACAAAATTCAATGTTTTAAGCATCATTTGTGACCCATCGATTACCATTATTATTTACACGTAGTTATGTTCCAATTAGATTTATTTGTTAACTTCATTTCTCTGTAAACTTATTTGCCCTACGTTTTGTTCAATGTTTTAGTTTTAGAAGTGATGTTTTCATCGCATTCAAGCTGTTAATTAATTATATGAGCAAAGAAAAAACTTGAACCAGTTAATTAACTCGTAATTCTCTTTAAAAGGAAACATTATCTTTAATAATTTTTTAAAATGATCCGCTCTACAAAAACTCATATCTTCAAGGTAATTGAATAAAATGCGTTAAGCAGAGTTCGTGGAATGTAAATATTTGCAAAAAAACTGTTTATTCTGAAGCTTCGTTACCAACCCGTAACGATTAAATTCCGTTATCAAATAGATATCATTCGTTCATTCATTTATTAAATATAATATTTAATGGAGGTTTTTTTTTCATTGTAACAATTTATTGCAATATCTAAAACTATTGCTTATCTATTTTATTCATAAGCTTTAAGCCACATATCTCCTGCATATATCTTCATTTATAGATGAAGTTGGGAAACTGAAGTATTTATCGGTAACTTGGCAAGTATCATGATCTGTAGAGATATGTTAAGTATTTATTAACTATATATCTATATATAATCTAATATATTAAATTATTGTGTCACAGTTTTATTGTTTATACTCCTCCGAAACGGATTGACCGATTTTTATGAAATTTTATATATTTTTTTTTATTTTATTTTTTTTGAAAAGTTGCCAAGCCAGCTCGCGCTTCACCTGATGTTAGGTGAATACCGCCGCCCATGAACTTCTGCTACACCCGAGGGTTGCAGGTGCGTTGACAACCTATTGAAAATTGGGCTCCGGCTACCTCACTCACCAGACGCAACGCGAAAGTATTATTATTTTTTATTTATGGGAAAAAAGCGGCAAACGAGGAGGAGGCTCACCTGATGGTAAGTGAACACCGCCGCCCATGGACACCTGTTACACCCGAGGGTTCACAAATGCTTTGCCGGCCTTTTAGGAAAGAGTATGCTCTCTTCTTGAAGGTATTTTACTTCAACTTTACGCCGGTCTTCTGTGAGGTCGTGGTACTTACCCGGACGAGCCTGCCCATTCATGCAACAGGCTTTCGGGCCGAGGCTGCTGCGTGGCCCTACCACAGTTAAATTCAGTAGGAATGAGAATAGGTTTATAACTAACTAGCTGCTGCCCGCGACTACGTCTGCGAAGAATGGGCTGAAGGCGTAACATTCAGACAAAAAGACAGACATACACAAAATATGTATATAAATTATAGCATGTGTGTTATTCTGACGTATAAGCTAGTTATATAAAGTTTCATTAAAATCCATTCAGTAGTTTTTGCGTGAAAGAGTAACAAACATCCATCCATACATACAAACTTTCGCCTATTTAATATTAGTAAGGTATAAAAATCAACCCTGAGTGATAAGAGTGGTCCACCCTAAACATTTTTTCCTACCCTACAAATAATTTATATGGCAAAACAACATTCGCCGGATCAGCTAGTATTTATATGTATACCTTTAAACGAGCAATTCTAGTATATAATATGTAAAAATAATCTGAATCTCGTAAATGGCTCCAACTATTTTTATGAAATGCAGCGTGCAGGAGGTTTCGGGGGCGATAAATCGCTCCCGATCGATCGATCTAGCTAGGTTTCAATTTTAGAAAACGTCGTTTTAACCGTGTTCATTAGAACACGAAGGTAAATTTCGCCACCATCGCACGGGTATAATAGCTCAGGTGGGAAATCGTGCGGTCCCGAAATCAGAAGACTCCGATCCAGATGATTTTTTTCCTTTTATTTATTTTTCCCTTTTTTTTTAGTTCCTTCTTTAGTGAGAAATAAAACTGAGCAAAGCTCGGTCATCCAGATACTGAGTATTTAAACTGTGTTTCTAAATTAAAATTTTTCGGCAAATAGCTAGTAATTTTTATAAGTCAGCAGTAGCGTAAAAAGTTCCAAATTGAGCTGTGCCGATAACAGTACAGAAATAAGAATATTTGGATAATTTTTTTTTTCAATTGGCAACTCTAGGTGTCAGAAAACTGTGCTACCATCAACCTTTTTACCATTAAATTCGACGAAACTATTAAGAAGGAACGGTAAAGTAAATAAATGAAAACAAAAAGCATAAATTAATACTTATAAATAAATTAACATTTCAGTAAATCATCACAACTGTAGAAGAAGGAACAAGTAGAATATAATTTAAAAAACTAAAAAAAAATCCCGACTGCGTTTCTGTGTAATTTTTTTATTTTGATATACTGTCACGGTAAATAGGAGTCTAACGACACCTCTCAAGCTTAAAGCTTTCAAACATAACCCTCATTCTGGCGCAGTGAGGTAAAAAAATGGGCTATTACGAAATGGTGTCTGATTGTCACAGTGAAATTCAGTATTAGGTTTTCAATTTCTCTCATCGTTCGAACAAAACATTAAAGTATTCATGCATCGTCAATTTTGTTTCAGAGCGATTAAAATAATTCTAAAGATAACTACTGAAGAATGATGCGTCTACTGATACTTGCGTCTGCTGTTGTGTTAGTGTTGGCTCATCATGAACACGTAAGTACCTATCCTTTAGTATCCGCTCGCAAACATAGGGGGTGGGAGGGGGCCAGGGAGGAGGGGGAGGAGAAGTGAACCCCACTTTAAGGGGGGCGGGAGGTGCGGAAACGAATAGTTTCTGAAATATATTAAAAAACTTAAATGTTCCTATGGTTGTATTTCTTCAGAATCAGCTGGTGGGAGGCAGGGGTCTAACCCTCCCCCCCAACGCCTGACGCCGTACTATAAGCGTTCTAACCTACAGGGTGCCATCCGTTCCGTTCTGGAGCTGGTCAACGTTCAACTTAAAACATTCTAACCAGACCTTTTTTTTTTTTTTTTTTTTTTTTTTTTTTTTTTTTTTTTTTTTTTAACGTGGGAAAAATCCTTTATGGATCCCCCGCCACCTTGTGGGTAGACAGCGAGGGTATGTGGGAGTCCCCAGGATACGGGGGGTACCCACTAAAAAACCCACGTTGCACCTGCGCTGTCGCTTTTGCCGGGGACACGGGAACACGAAAACGCAATCTTCCGCGAACCCCGGCGCGACTGTGGCCTTCTAAGGCCTCCTCTCTCCGGGTCTTTAGACACCCGGTCCAGCCAAATGGTGCCGTATCGGTGCAAGGGACACGGCACCCCTCTCGATCCCCCTACGGGCAGCAGTTAATCCCACATCTGCCGCCCCAGGGCTCCCTATCAGGGGGGAAGGTTGCGCGCGTAGGCCAGCCTCCTGCGCCCTGGTCTCCGGCGGCGGATTACCAGGGTGGCAGTTGCCTCCCTTTCTCGCTCCGCGGCCTCCTTCCGGGTGACTATGTCCTCACAAAAAGCAAGGACCGCACCCCACGCCCTCTCGCTGTCCACCATAGCACGAACCACGGCAGGCAGCGAGAGGTCGTGCCCCACGATAGCGCACAGCTCTCGGCGCTGCTCCATCCAGGCTGGGCACTCTTCCAGCGCGTGTTGGGCCGTCTCCTCGGCACATACGTCACAGTGGTGGCATTCCGCTGTGGGCTCCCTCTTCGCCACGCGAAACAGGTACCTCCCGAAACAACCATGTCCCGAGAGGACCTGCGTCGCGCGGTAGGTGAGGGCGCCGTATTGCCTGTCCAGCCACCTACTGAGGACAGGACGTATGGCCTCCACGGTTCTTAGGCCGGCGCTGGGGTGCTCCAGCCTTTGCTCCCACTCAGCAATGGCGTTTGAGCGCAAGATATTCCTACGCGTCCCCAACTCGTCTGTGGCTGGCGTGTGGCCTTGGGCTTTTAGCTCCTCGCGCCAGAAGTGCAGTGACGCGAGGATTTCAGCTTCCAGGTCCCAAGGCAAAGTACCAGCCAACAGGCACGCCGCCTCACCGGATATGGTCCGGTAGCCCCGAATGGCTCGTATGGCCAACACCCTTTGCGGTTTGCACAAAAGTGCTTTGCTCCGGCGGCTCAGGGTGCCAACCCACACGGGGAGCCCCATACAGGGCCATTGACCTCAGGACTCCGGTGTATAGGCGACGGCACATATCGTTGGGACCGCCAACGTTTGGGAGCAGTCTGCCGAGAGCTGCTGCTGCTTTCACCACTTTGGGAGATTGCCGCTCAAAGTGGGCACAGAAGTCCCATCGGCGATCTAGGACTAGGCCGAGATACCTCATGGTAGGTTGTACGTCGACACGGACGCCACACACAATAATATGGGCGTCCGCAGGTGGTGCGTTCCGAGGCCCATAGAAACATAGGGCCTCGGATTTACTTAACGCCACCTCTAGCCCTAGTCGCCGAATACGCCTCACCACCTGAGCCACTCCCGCAGTGGCGAGAATAGCAGCCCGGCGAAAGTTTGTGCCGCGGGCGGTCACAAGGGTGTCGTCAGCATAACATGTCACCTCGACACCCCTGAGGTAGGCACCACGCAGCACCCAATCATAACCTAAATTCCACAGGAGCGGCCCTAACACCGACCCCTGTGGAACTCCACACGTCACCTCGATGGCTCGTCGAAGCCCGTCTCTGCATGGATACTCTACACGACGGTCTGACAAGTAGGCCCCGATGGTACGGCGCAGGTAAAGGGGCACTCCATGATACCGGAGCGCCTCTCTGATGCAAGCCCAGGGCAGGGTATTGAAGGCATTGGCGATGTCAAGAGACACCGCCAAGACGACCTCACCCTGGGAAACTGCTTCCTGCGCGAGGGACCTCACTCTCAGCACCGCGTGTATTGTTGATCGACCCTTGCGAAACCCAAACTGCCTATCAGAAAGATTAGGGCCGACATGCTCCAGATGACCGATGATGCGGCTGGCAATGACTCTCTCAAAGAGTTTGCCCACATCATCGAGCAGTACTATCGGCCGATAGGCAGAGGGTGAGTCCAGGGGACGCCCGTCCTTCCGGATGAGGACGAGTCTGCCTGTCTTCCACTTCTGTGCAATTGAGGCTTGAGCCAGACAGGCAGTAAACATCACCCTCAACCTGGGCTCCAGGGCGTCCTCCAGGGCCAGGGCCCAGACTCGTCCAGGAATACCGTCAGGACCCGGGGCGGTGGTTTTGGCTTTCATCTTTAGAACGGCAGCACCAAGCTCCCCCGGGGTCACCTCAGGCACTTCCACACTTACGTCAGTCTCCTCATAGTCAGGTCGAACCATCACAGGTGGCGTATGCTCCTCTCGCTGAGGGAACAAAGCCGTGGCAATCGCCGTCACCAACTGAGGATGCAGAGTTTGCGTGAGTGGGGGGGCCCAGGGGCGAAGTTTCTTCAACACCATCCTGTATGGCCGTCCCCATGGATCACGGTTTAAAGAAGTCAAAAATTCACTTCTGGCAGCAGCGACCGATTTGGCTATTTCGGACTGCAGTGCCATTTTTTGCCGCTCTATAAGAGGCGTAGAGCAGCGGCTCCAAGCCTGCATCTCTGTGCCGCCTTCTTCGGCATCGGGTGAACCGGCGCCTTGCCACGACACACGCTCTACGCATTTGGGAGAGCTCCTCAGACCACCAATATACTCGGCTCTTTTGTGGGAAATTTCTGGACCGGGCCATGGACGCGTTACAAACTTTCCGTCATTGTGTCCCGGAACCATTCAGCCTCTCTCTCGACGTTCAGATGAGTGGTTGTGGGCAACCACGATGCTACAATAGCCGCCTCTTTCAGAGAGTCGCGGTCCAGACTTTTGAGGTTCCACCGTGGGCCGTCCCTCCTTATCCTCTGATTTGGACCGGTCAGGGTATCTGGTAAGGCGGAGACTTCAAAACGGATATAACGGTGGTCGGATAATGTCTCCTCATCCACCACTACTTTCCAGTCACGAACACGGCGTGCCAAAATGGGGCTCGCAAACGAAACGTCCACTATGGATCCGCCACGTTGCCGCACGCACGTGTTCTCGGATCCCCGAGAACACGTGCGTGCCACTCCAGGAGCCATTCGTCCAGTAACCGACCGCGCGCGTCGGCCACTGGAGAGCCCCACGCCACAGACTTGGCGTTAAGATCCCCAGCAACCAACACGGGGTAGGGATTAAGTTGTCGGATTAATGACCCCAGTCGGTCCAGATAGTCCTCGAACTCGGCCAGGGTTCTATTGGGCGAGAAATAGACCGCTACGACAACAATCTCTCCCAGTCGGGCCGCCACAAAGCCTGGACCTCTGCTTACGTTACTGAGAGGAACAGAAGTCGCAGTTGATCTGTAGACTAGCGCCGCCGTGCTAGAATGATCCCCAGCCCAGTTGTCACCTGGGGGAACAAAGTATGGTTCTGCTACGATAGCCACTTGTATAGTCCACTGTGCCATGCTCTGGAGCAGAAGATCTTGAGCCCTGGCACAGTGGTTGATATTCACCTGCAAGAACCTTATGGTGGCCATTCACTACGAAATGGACATAGGAATCCCCTCTTCCCTAGCCTCATTTGTTTGCTGATGGGATAAATGCGACTGCAGTGGTGCACCTGTGACACCTTGCCATCGCTTCCTCTTCTCAGGCTTGGTTGTGGTGCAAGCACTGCTTCCAATTTTGTGTGCGGCAGACTTGTTCAATGCCGCGCATACCAAACAATGAGGCATCGCCGAGCACTGGGCAGACATGTGGCCCAGTTGGCCGCAGCGGAAGCATGTATTACTGCGGTCAACTTCAGAGGTGCACTGTTCTCGGACGTGTCCTACCTCCAGACATCGGAAGCACCTTAAGGGTCGCGGTGGCAATAGCTTGGTCCGCACTGATGACCAACCTATGAGAAGCCGACCTGCTTCAGCTATTTTGCGGGCACTAGCCACAGGACAACTGACTAACACTGTGCCCAGTCCAGATCGGTCTCGACGAATTTCCCCCACCTTAACGGAGTTTACTGCGCATTCACCCTTTCGTGCTATTGCTACGGCAACTTCCTCCTTTTCAACGGAGTCGTCCAGGCCTAAAATGCGCAAATCTGCGCACTTCTCCGGCCTGGAAACTACCGCGACGTCTTCACTGACCACCTGTCGCAACTTTTCAGCCAGCAGGTTGGCTTTATCGCCACTAGTAGCCCCTGGCACTTCAAGGACTCGGGCCCCTGTTACGGCCTTTCTAAAGCGAATGGCCTGGATCCCGAGAAATTCCAAGTCCATCGCTTTTTTGGCGTCCCTAAGAATACCCGCGTAGGTGACCCCTCGTGCTGCCGCATCCGGTTGTATCTTTATTACTACAGCTGATGAGCGAGGAGGCCGCAGCTTTGGTATCTTTTGCCGCTCCTTGGGACTTGCCGCTTTGTCTGCGGTACCAGTGCCAGATCTGCCAGGTCGGCGCCGGGTAACCAATGTCCATTCCTCCGAGGGATGTCCTGGTGTTGCCGATGGCGGGGCGCTTGAAACATCCTGGTTGGTGTTTCCTGGCGTTCCCTGCTTCTTTTTCCTTCGCAGTTTCACATTCGTCTCATGCACATTGGTCACAGATGGCCCACTTCCCGTTGCAGGAACTGGTGTCCCAGTCAGTCTGACGTCGCTAACCGTGGTTGGTTTAATGGCGGCTGCAGACGACTGAGTCGCTCGGTTATCTACGGCTAGCGGTGGACGCAAGCGCTTCTCGGGCAGTAACCTGTCTTTTAGTCCCTCGAACCTGGCATTTATCATCGTCCCCACTGCCTCCAATATGGACCGTTGCAGTATCTCCGGCTCGTGCAATACAGAAGAGAGGGGAGTGGCTGATGTCGCGTGCCTACGCTGCGTCTCCCTCAGGTCAGCCTGTAATGTCGTCACTTGGCTGCGGAGTTCAGCCAATTCCGCTTTAAGACGCGAATTATCCGCAGCCAACTTTTTGGTCTCCTCTGACACCGAGGTTTGGCTCAGGGCCTCCACCGCACTGCTTATTTGCGTTGCCGCATCCTTGAGGGCCTTAACAAACGTGCCCTTCAGGTTGGACGATTTGGTAGCGACATGCGTTATTATTGATACCTGCTGGAGCACTCGCTCCCGCAAGTCGTCCGCAAGAACATTCATGTCCTTATCACTCTCACAGGTCTCTGAGAGGCAGATAGGTCCTAGATTAGCTTTACGCGAAGCTTCCACTACCTCTTGCTCAGCCTGAAGTTCTCTTGCTGCGCGTTCTGCAGCGATCAGGGCAGACTTGCCTTTGGTCCTTGTCGTACGTGACCTGCCTCTTTCAACGTGGACATCAGCGTCATTGATCTGAGTTGCGCTCGCCTTTTTCCGGCTTACGCCTTCAGACTCCAAATAGTCAGCCTGAATGGGTTTCTCCCCCTGCACGTCAGTTCGCTTGAGGTACCGTCCCCGCTTATCCTGAACTAAGATAGGGGATGCAATGCGTCCCCGGCCTCTTTTCCCAGCCAACACTTTTTGAGCTGGCTGCTCGTCGTCACTCGAGGTCCCGCTGACGTTAGGGTCCTCGCCTTCTTTTCTCGGGCGTTTCCGAACATCCCCGAAAAATTTCGAGGGTCTATCCTCAGATACCCAGTTCGACTCTCCAACAGACGCAGACCTTCTCAGGCCCGCGCGTCCTTCACCTACCAACTCACATAGCAAGTCTGAGTCCATATTAGCGCTTTTGTCATTTTTGGTATTTGGTTTATTCAATGTTGCCATAATGATCCCACGAATATTAGGTAAAAAAAAACAGTCCACCGAGCCAGTGACCGTGTAGCCCGGTAACCCTACATACACCTGGGGGTCGGGAGGTACCCAGGGTTGGCCGCTAATGGCTGGTTTGACGCCCCAGCCGCTCTTTCGAGCCCACGCCGCGTACCGCAGCGCCGGAATCGGCGGATTTTTTAGTGAGGTTTACTCCTCGCGGTCCGACCGGTGAAGGTAAGACCCTCAGCTCTGCTGCAGGCCGCGAGACATGTCCACGACACCTGCAACAGGGTACCGAGATCGCCCGGTGTCGACAAAGCCGAGTGCGCTTGGCAAACTCACCGCACGAGTCAAACGTCCCCTTTCGGAGACTTCCTTCCATACATCACGCAAACACTCAGCCTATTTACCCATTCCCCCCCACATAACACCCACCTTTCATACATCTCGCTTTATTTCCCCCCCTGTTGCTCCCTTGTTCCCTCTCACGAAAGAGGGATACTGGGAGCAATTAAGGCCCGCCTAGAAGGCTCTGCCTCGTAGGGCATTAAGCCCTTTGGCATCCCGGGGTCCTGAAAAGGATCACCAGATGGCCCCCCCTTGCCAGTTTTGGTCCACGCCAGTTTCCCGGTATCACCCATGTCTGGGTGACATTCCCCTATCCGCCACCTGGGGACGCGCCCGATAGGAGGTCTGGCAACTCCCACGGGATTCTAACCAGACCTGACCCAAACTGATTACCACCTGCCAAGATATGGCAACGGAGCCCAACTACGCGGTGCCCCTATTTCTGGGTGGTTATAACAAGAATAACCACGGAAGCTAACGCGCCTTACGACCGGTTTCTGAAACACTGATCATCGTAGAACTCAACTAATCAGCTGTCAAATGGCTTTTCAAATGTCATTTGAGTTGCCAAAAGGATATTATCGATCGTTCTGATCAATTCAGAGAGTTTAACAATCCTTTTGGCAACTCAAATAACATTTGAAAATCTATTTGACAGCTGATTAGTTGACATCTACAATGATCAGTGTTTCAGAAATCGGGCGTTAGTCTTCTAAACTAACCTGTCCGAGTCGGATTGCTCTGTCTGTTTGACAATCAAAATGATGTTATCAAAAACCTAACCAACTTGAAAGAACATTAAAAATATATTACAATGGTTATATTTTCTTTTTCTTAATTTACTTTAGTCATTTTGGTCCACATTGCCGGAGCCACTAATTGTGCCAATATTTTATTGATGATTTCACTGATAAAGTCCTACTGTCTCATAATAGTAATTAGATATTATATACGATAGTATTTAAACCAGTCGGCTATAGGGGTCATTGATAGGTAGCCCTCAGTATCCCTCTCCAGATCCTCAAACACCACTCTCTAATGCTTTAGAATGTAAATCTCTTGGCCCAAAACGATGCTGTTCGATTCTATATGATTCCTAGTAGATAACCCATAAAACAGAATTAAATAAATCCAAGCTATTAAGCTGTCTTTTTCTAATGCTTTATAATATATGTAAATCTCTTGGGCCCAAACGATACTGTTCTATTCGATTCCTAGTCAGTGATGGATTTGATCTGTTGGTCGCCCTAGGCATATACAAGATTGCCGCAGCCCTCTTTGCTTTAAACCAGGAAAAATTAAACGAGGTAGGGTATAAGAAATGAAAAAACCTACTTATCATTCCCGCTTCATTCATTATAATTTTTATTGTGATTTAAAATTTAAATTTTTAATTATTTATATATAATAATTAAACATATAACATTTAATCGTCGCGGAGGAGCCAGAGGGGAAAGGTACGACTACTAAAAACATTTCATCAAGTTTTGTCGTCCCCTAAATTTCTCCATATCTTATATACAGCGTGTCTTTACAATCGCGACAATTAATGAACACAAATATAGAGGATAGCTTTTTAAAATTGTATTAAACATTTACATTCTTTAAACATCAATATTTACCGAGATATTAAATTTTCCAAAACAAACAATTTTAGAACCACCCTTACGTATAAAACTGTAACGTAAAGTTCATTTGTAAAGGTCACAAAGCATATGAATGGGTTGAATGAATTTAAAAGAGACAAAACATACTATTAGAAGGAGAGGCTTGTATGAAAGAGACAAAACATACTGTTAGAAGGAGAGGCAACGAATGAAAAAGTCTCTGAATGTGTGAATCAGTCAGTTGTAGTCGTATAGGTGTTACAAATTTTGATTCTTTTTTACTTAATTAGTTTGTTTGAAAAATATTTTGTTTTTAATTATGGATTTTTTAATGTTAATATTTTTTTATGATTATTGGCACGTAGCGTTAGACGTGTGTTCATTTATTGTCGCGATTGTAACGACACGCTGCATATCCATAGAATGTGGTTTAGGTATATGACACGGACTCAACCGAAAACCCACTGTCTGTACCCCTCCGCAGCCGGACCAGTACAGGGCCATAGCGAAACTGACGCAGCCCAGCGGCGATCAAGTTCAAGGGAACGTGACCTTCACTCAGCTCCCAGACGGGAAGGTGCACATTCAGGGTGTGATCCTGGGCCTGGCACCGGGACACTATGGCTTCCACGTCCACGAGAAGGGAGACATCAGCGGCGGATGCGGTTCCACAGGATCCCACTACAACCCCCTTCACGTAAATCGGTTTTGCTATTTACGTAATTGCCCAATCAATTGTTTATTTCATATTTATGTATTGTATCTGATAATGTCCGTTTCTGGTTACAGTTCAACAGATACAAGCAAAAAATTTTATCAATATTCAATCTTCATTATATCGCATAATGATGACGTATATCACGTACATGTAAAATAGAACTGTACCGAAATAGTTTTATACCTGTCTGTTATTATCACGAAATCCTAAACACTTGTAATAACACAAGTATACACACACTTGTATAACATAAAAGATAGACTGAAATTTGCTGGTGGATTTCGAGTGTCCACCACTCAATCCACTAGCTGCATTCGCCAACCTAACAGACCTTTGAGAATTGGTATAGAAAACATACTGTATATTGGAGAAATCCTATTGAAAATCTATAACATCTTGCAGAAAGACCACGGCCACCCGAACGACGAGAACCGACACGTGGGTGACCTTGGCAACGTGGTCTTCGACGAGAACCGCGTCAGCGTTCTGGACTACGTAGACAGCGTCATCTGCCTAACCGGGGAGTACTCTATCATTGGCCGTGCCGTGGTCCTCCACGAGAAGTCCGACGATTTCGGGCGCAGCGCCCACCCTGACTCCAAGAAGACCGGCAACGCTGGTGGCAGGGTCGCTTGCGGCGTCATCGGAATCCTGTAGGCACTCACTCTTCACATCGCGTTAATATCGATGTCGTATAATATCGATATTGTCCCGACGATGTGGCATTCTATCGATATAACGATACAAATCATGTGATGTTCTTTATTAATAGATTTTCAATTTATATGTGATGTCGATATAGTTGGAAATAATTCACCGTCGGTATAAAAAAATGCAAGGTAAAGTGCAACGTTTGATCATGAAAATAATGCTCGTTCCGCTTTGTACTGTATTGATATTATATTGTGATACTAAGATCTGATACTATATCGATAAAACGTCTCTACACTTGATGTTAACTTTGCACCGATGTTGACTAGTATTTAAATTGATACTGTTCAAAACCTGTAACTTTATCGATATGAATACTAAGACTTGTGATATCTCTATTGCCGATATGATATTGTTTGTGTGACTGCAATAATTGAAAACGAGTTAACGGATCTTTTTTATGTAGCTTCAGTTTAGAAAAGATTTTTTTTGTACGTAAGTGTTTCACTACCTTTTATCCAATTTCCCTATAATTTACCTTTGTCAATATTGTAGTAGTATATATAATCTGTACATTTAAATATTATTTTTAGTATTTGTGATGATAATTAAATCAAATCAGATAGAACTTCAGAAATCTAATACTATTCTATATTTGCAACTCTAGAGATTTGTATGTAACATATCTTATCTTCTGTCATATTATCTCCAAGTATACTGTTTATGGCGATCGAAATGAATGATCGAATGCTTAAAATATACAAAAAATTTGGTTCGGGAACGTGGTTATATGTTATAAAATATAAGAATGTAATCTCTGCCCACCGAATAAAGTTTATTGGCGTTAGGATTTCAAAACTATTAAACACGTGCCCTAAATTTTCATATCAATAAGTTTTTATACCGAAGACTTCTATTGCGTAGCAAAGATTTGGTATGTTGTAAAGAGATAATTACATTAATCTAAATATTATTCATCTGCGGTTCAAGGTAAGGCACTTTCGCTTATGGGAGACGTGCTAATGGACTGGTTACATAATTTAGGTCGATTGAAAATTTAATTAATGCGTAAGTAGTATTAAATATATCTACTGTGGTACAGTATGGGCAGATCCGTCCGGGTAAGTATCAGGCCCTTACAGACGACTAGCGTGAAGTGAAAGTGTTATATATACTTCTGAGTTTTTCTGTTTTGATTCTGGTGAGTGACATAGCCGGGGTCCACTTTGTTAAAAGGTGGCAACGTATCTACAACTCTACGGGTGTTGCAAATGTTATGGGCGGCGGTTATCACGTCATGTGAACCGCCTTCACACTCGCCACCTTCTCACAGAAAAAAAAAACCGAAGCCAATGGATTAGCAATTGTTCCGTCGCAGAAAGAAGAAAAGAAGTGATTCGCTACTTATTGCTATATTTGCTATATTGCCATTGGTAACACTGATAAAATTTTGTGGTAATTCAGAAAAAGTTGGCAACAATTACACATACTATGACAAGTAACACAACTAAGTGCAGTGAGGTCTGCTAAATAATTAGAATAACATTCTTTGCTTTTCATGCCTGTCTCGAATTACAATAAATGAATGAGATTATTTTAAATTTAAATTATTCTTTTAAAGGTGAAACTCACTCGAAATATGGCACAGGAGATTGACAATTTAAACAATTTTAAGATTTCAAAGTCAAGATCAAAATATCTTTATTAAACATAGGCTTGTTTTAAGTTTTATTGGACGTCAAAAAACAACTAGCAGTTCTCTAAATTAGACCTGTCTGAAGAAGAACCGGCAAGAAGATCTGCGGTTTTATTATGTTTGTGACATCAGCAGCAGTTTTGAGATTTGCAATTATTGCAGTGTTAGAATCAATTTTTTATGCCTAGAAAGGTGCAAAGGTTTATAGTAAACTATGTACGCTAACTTGTGAGTTATGATATATGACCTACTAATAATATTTCCCCATATGGGTTAGTTTATCCATGTCTCAGAACAAAAAAAAACACAAAATAAATCTAAGCTGGAAAAAGAGAGAAGGTATTTTATTAAATTATATATAATTTTACGGATAATTTTGAAACGAGAACGGAAATTTCAATCCCATTTACAACTTTTTAATCTAATTTCAATTTTTTAATCGAAACGTATTTTCTAAAAAAGTGATAATTTTTGGTCATGTGGATCTACGGGGAGCGCATAGAAACTAGAAATTTATTTATTTATTTAATTGAAATCCAGCATTTTTCTACTGCTGTATACACTTTACAGTGGTTTTATGGATAAAAAATATTGTTAGCTTTTGTTACTAACTCTGATTGCTATTTTAGGACTCTTACTCGAATGTTATGACTGGCTTTTGTGACTAACTCACCGCTGATACTTCACAAACGGCATCAAATGTTGCTATCAACCGCTTTAGGGGTTGTAAGTTTACCCGCCGTGTTAATTGATTCCCGTGGCCCACGGACATCTAATAGACCTGACGGGCGACAGAGGTGTCCCCGGACACTTCATTAACCAGATCAAACGCATTAGTATAACACTTTCACTTCAGTTCAGATCTTTTGGGAAAATATCGTACTCATCCGGACGAACCTGGCCATACGTATCTAGCAGAAACGGCTACTTTGGGTTTCCTCTTATTGCTAGATTTACTTATTGCGTAGTGCATTGCATTGATTACTCAAGGCGTCGAGATGTGTCACTCGAAACAACTATCTTTATGACTAAGAGTTTATAAATGATGCTATGAGCTATATTTGAATTCTTAGTATTATTTTCGCGATGAGAATTTCCCTAATAATGTGTATTAAAGTTTTGATGAGCAAAATTGTTTGGCAAATGTGAATGGAAAAGTCTGTGAACGTCTTTGGCTATAGTTGCAATACATTTATGAAGGGTTAAGTAAACATTTCCTGCATATATTTGTATATGAGAGGGTTTAGAAATACGAAGCAAGTGTGTAAGCATCACGAAAAGTGATAAGAACTCTCTGTCAGAGTACAAGAGAGTAAGATGAGCTGAGATCTTCAAAATCACACCTGTCATCACAGCTGTGATTTTGAAACTGTTTTATAGTAGTGATTGACGCATTGATTAACTAACCAAAGGATTCGCAAGGTATTTCGAATCGATGGAGTGTACTTTATTTTTATCCTTGCCCTTCCTATAGTTATATGCATACATGTAGGGATAAGAATTTATTTAATAGATTATTTATGGTATGTCGATCGATGCAGGTGCATCAGCATTCGTCATTCATTTATGCTAATTCTTACTGGCTCATTTTAGTCATGTATGGAATTAAAATGTTGATGAAATCAGAATCAATAGGAAAATATCTTACAGTACTACTATAGTAATGTAAAATGAAAAAATAAGGATTTAAATCTAATGATTAGTTACATCGTTGGGGGCTTTTAAAAGATATGAAAACTTACAAAATTGATTTAGTGAGTCTGCGTCTAGTCAGGAACAATTAACTGTAAATCGTAAAAGCGTCTCATTAAGGACCTCAAGGCTAGAGATAGCAAAACTATTTTATCGGTGTACGTATATACATTTTCATTCTTTTGTTTCAGGGATCCTGTGTCTGGTTGGAACAGAAACGGCGCTTCGTCCTCGAGAAATTCCGTATTTGTTACACCAATAGTGGTTTTGTTTATTTTGAAGTTTATTATAATCACTAATACGATTTTATAATTTAAAATATCTCAACATATTCTAATCATGCTTTAGTAGCATATATTTTAATGCAGTAATCACTAACTCGGTCATTTTAGTCGAAACTACCATTAAGTTATTTATTATTAGTTGTTCAAATAATGTTTAATTAAGTAATTTATTTTTTCAAATAAACAGAAAAAAACTTAACTTATCAAGGCCCGGCATGATTTCGCCTTGATATGTCGTGAGAAGTATTTTTCATATTAAAAAAATCATTTGCACACAGTCTACTGACAAAACATGAAACCATTATCATACTTATCTTTCTTTTCTTTGTGTGATTGCAACAATGTTATTTAATTATTATTTATTTTTAACCTAGATATTTATAACAGATTTTTTTTCCCACTTTGTAACCTAATTATACACATTCGGACGTTTTTGTATTCTGCCTCGAAATCTGTTTTGATTGTCCTAGATCATTTATATTTTAAACGTACTTATAGCAAGTACATTTTTATAAACCACAATTTTCAAAAACAAAACCGACTTGAAACATCTCACTCACCATACACTTTCTATTTCCCCCGATGGATCTCCGGAGTCACATAAAAAAAGTACGAAGTCCAGTAAATAGTAATGAAATAATGTTTACCCAATGGGAGCTAAACCAAACCCAATGCAAATAAACATAAAAAAAAAATTGTCAAAATAGGTTAAAAAATTATGGAGTTCTGAGGTAAATAAAATGAAAAAACAACCGAACTGTACCTCACAAAACGAGGTACTCGTTTACCTTGTTTGAAGTCTGTTTTGAACTTACTAACCGTAGTATTACTTTATGTTACTAACTCTCAGTATTGTTTGAAACAGCTCCGGAATTCGGCCAACTTAAACCATAGCCTGTCATTTCTATTGTTATTAGATTGGTTATAGATATTTGTTTAATTATTTGTTTGTTTATATCCGCGATTAATGTTGTTTTTGAATACTGTTAGTATTTATAATTCACAAATGAAAAATTTTGGAATTGTCTGTATGTTTCTATATTTTATATTGAAATAAATTTAATAACATTTAACATTTAAGCATGTATGTTTCTTTTCTAACTTAAATATGCGTAGTAATTATCCCGTTTCGATGGCCGGGTTTGCAGATGCGTTGACAACCTTTTAGAAATTGGGCTCCGGATCACCAGACGCCAACACGAAAATCTTCTGTCGTTACTTCCATTGGCAGGTCTCGTGGGTCGTATACTTACCCGGACGAGCCTGCCCATTCGTGCAACAGCCGAGGCTGCTGCGTGGCAATACCACCGTTGGTGGTGAAGCGAAAGTATTATACTTTCGCGATTCGTCTGGTGAGTGAGGTAACCAGGGCACACTTTTTAATTTTCACGGGTGGCGGTAAACACTTTAAATCAGGTGAACTGCCTTCTCGCTTGTCTACTTTCTAAAAAAAACGTATCCATACAAAAAGCCCGCGAAAATTCTGACGGTTGGGCGGGAAAGCCAAAATCTGATGTAATAACTTTACACACCTAGTCCCAGTAATGTTTAATTGGTAATAAATAAATATAAAGTAACGACGTTTGTTGTAAAAGTTGTTATACGTGATATTGTATATGCTATTATTTGGTATTGTTTTGTACTTATAATACATTCCTTAGGGAAAATTTGTGATGCGTAAATAGGTACACACACAGAGACAATAATAACTGAAACAATAATACCTTTAGGCATTTGTTATTGAGCATTTTGATATATTTACCTGTGATACATTCAGCGTTTTATTAAACAGTCCCTTTTAAAACAACTGTCGCATTCAATCGATAAAAAATAAAATATTTCGATGCCAAAAGTACTGAATTCCTTATAATTATAGACCACGTTCCCTCACAGATGTTATTTCACAGTAAATAATAAGTCACCCAACTAATGTAATTCAATTTTACCAGTAAAACCATGAGTTAAAGTTTAAAATAACTTGTAACGTTTAGTAAACGTTGAGACTTATGTTGTAGTTTGGACAAAGTACAACTATGTAGGTATAGAATGTAACAACTAGGTAAAATCAAACACTAGTCAGACCGAAGTGTGAATGTAACATCCGAAACTTACCAAGATGTGTGATTGGACCTCTGGGCAGAGGCTGCGGGAAGTGGTCGATTCTTGTTCTTAATGGATTGTGTATTGTATGTTTAACAACTTATTTGATAGCACACATTTATTATCTGTGAACATCGATGAGTTTCAGAACAATGTCCATTGGAAACTTTCTCACACAAAAATTACGAAACCTATATTTTGGATACGCAACCGAAGATGCCTTCAATTCTTATCTCGTTGAAATGTTTCTCTTCCCCATCATTTATGTCATAATAAAAATCTATAATAGAGCCGCGCAGCAGTTTCTGTTGTTCTTTTCTAGACCAGGTCATCGGAGGAAGTAAGAATAACTTGTAATAACACCAACGCAAAATATAAATAGTTTTTTTTTCATTTCGTCTGGTGTTGAATAGGGTCTGGGCCATTTAAAGGTGGCAATGAAACTTTTATCTAAAGGGTGTTTAGAATAATATGAATTTCATCATTAGTTACGATTTTTTAAACAGTGTTATATAATATGTTCACAACGGGGTTATCCGCTTTCCGTCATCGAACTTGTGACCAGACTGTGGCGTTCTGCACTTCGGTCTTCGCTGTGGTGGACATGAAAATCTTTCAGAAGTACGGCAATGATCAAGGGGCGGGCTGCTTTGCCGGCGATGTCATGATTATAGTCGCCAGCTCAATGCTGGTGGCTGTTGCAGTTTTTGGCTGCTACGGAGCACTGAAGAGGAATCCTAAAATACTTTATCTGGTAAGTACTAAAGTAAAAGTAACTGTTTGACAAATTAATAATAAGGGTATTATTATTATTAATAATAATAACCTTATTTTTTCCCTTTCACCCTAACCCTCGGCCGTTTGGTCTCCCCTGCCGAGGGCTTCCGTCTGGTTGGGTCCTATTTATATATGTACTATATACAATTATATATAATACTATTTATATCTATACGTTTATTTTTTATCTATAAACCCAACCAGACTAGAAAACAAATGAATATCCCCCCCATAATAATAATAATAGGTCTTTATTGGTCTAAAATCACAAATAATGTAGGTATAAGTAATTTAAAATACAATTATGTTGGTCAGATTTTAGACTTTTACGGTGGTAGGGCCACGCAGCAGCCTCGGCTGTTGCACGAATGGGCAGGCCCGTCCGGGTAAGTACCACGACCTCACAGAAGACCGGCGTAAAGTGGAAGTATGACAAATACTTTCGCGTTTCGTCTGGTGAGTGAGGTAGCCAGAGCCCAATTTTCAAAAGGTTGTCAACGCATCTGTAACCCTCGAGTGTAACAGATGTCCATGGGCGGCGGTATTCACTTAACATCAGGTGAACCGTCTGCTCGTTTGACAACTTTTCGCATAAAAAAAAAATAACTTAAAATTATTAATGTCGAGTTCCGAATTCCGTTCTCACTGAACTTTTCTGTTCTTCGTATAAGGTACTTTTTCGTTTTTTTATGTAAGAAAGTGGCAAGTAAGTGATAATCGCCGCCCGTGGACATTTGCAACACCCGTAGGGTTGCAGATGCGTTTCCCCCTTGTAATAAAGTGAGCCCCGGCCACCTCACTCGTCAGATGAAGACACAGAAGTATAACACTTCCACTTCGCTGGTCTTCTGTGAGGTGCAATGCACGCGCGTGAGAAGTTTTATTATTGTATTAAAAATAGTTTTTAATTGCATGCAAATAAATAATTACGATAAAATAAATGGCCTACACAGCTGATGTAAGCAAAATGTTCACTTATGGCGATTTAATTAGATCCTTTCATATCGGCTATTTTTATACTTAGAAAAGAAAAGCTTACATATGTCCCACTGTTGGTAAATGCCTCCTCTTGATAGAGGTTATAAAAGCATAGTACACCATGCAACCATATTGCCCATTGGCGGATTTCTCGATGTTTTTGAAATATTTTATTATTATTTGAATATGCAGGTCTCCTCACGATATTTTATTTTCCGTAATCGCTGTGCACTAAATAAGTCTTAAAATTGTAGCAAACAATTTCATTGGTGCACAGGGATTTGAACTTAGGTTTTATTTATTTATTTTTTTATTTATTTATTTATTTCTTTATTTATTTATATATTTATTTATTTATTTATTTATGTATTTATTTATGTATTTATTTATTTATTTATTTATTTATTTATTTATTTATGTATTTATTTATGTATTTATTTATGTATTTATTTATTTATTTATGTATTTATGTATTTATTTATGTATTTATGTATTTATTTATGTATTTATGTATCTATCTATCTATCTATCTATCTATCTATCTATCTATCTATCTATCTATCTATCTATCTATCTATCTAGATAGATATCTATCTATCTATCTATTTATTTATTTATTTATTTATTTATTTATTTGGGAAACATACAGTATACATCGCACTTATAGTTATTAAAAATACAAATACCTTGTATTTTTAATAACTATAAGTTGTACAAATATCAGTTAAGTTTCCTGAACAGAAATTAAAAAAAAAAAATAATTACAGCCTAAACAATATAAAAAAGTAATAATAAACAATAATAATAGGTTGCTGTCACATCGAGATAAAGCGAACGCCAGGACACTGAGATATCGAGGTTTAGAGAACAATAAGCAAATCATATCGGCACGGATTCATTCTTAACAGCTATTTATTTTAGAAGAATGATACAGCGATCTAGAGTGACGATTGTTAACGGGGCTAGCCGGTCCGTCCTGTTATATGCTATCAGCTGTTTCTTGCGTATCGCGTGGACTTCTCCACCTGTGACGTCACGTCTACCAGTAGCCGATGACGCCGCATGCCACGTGGCTGCCGGCGTTGCCCGTCTTCTTGGAGTCCGGGTGCCCTCCCTTCCCGTAGTCGTCCGCCATCGAGTGGAGCACTATCGCCCTGCCCACGATCGAGTGAGGGCCCCACAGCTGGATCACGCCGTCCGTGAAGTCCACGTTGCTCACGCCGTTCTCGTCGAACTGCACGTTGCCAAGGTCGCCGGCGTGGCGGTTCTCCTCTTCCGGATGCCCGTGCTCTTTCTGTGCGGGTGAACGCAGAATGGAGATGACTGGACGATCACAATCTAATGTATAAAATTCTCGTGTCGCGGTGTTTGTAATCGAACTCCTCCGAAACGGCTCGACCTATTTTCGTGGAATTTTGTGTGCGTATCGGCCAGGGTGGTGAATGGGATAACATCTATTTTTCATCCCTCTTAATATTAAGGGTGGTCCACCGCAAATTTTTTTAAATTTTTTATATAAAAATTTTTGATTTTATTTTTTTATGATACAGCATACAAAAATACATACGACCCTAAATTTTTACCCCTCTACGCAGACGTAGTCGCGGGCAGCAGCTAGTAATATAGTAAAAGAAAAAGTACTTATACTTTTATGTGGTATGAACACGAATGGGTAGGTCCGTTCAGGGAAGTACCACGAACTAACAGAAGAGCGGCGCGCAGCGGATGTGTTAAACTTTTGTTTTTCGTCTGCTGAGTAAGGTAACCAAGCCCACTTTATTAAAAGGTGACAACGCATCTGCAACCTACGCGGGTTGTAAAAGTCCATGGGCGACACTTAACATCAGGTGAACCTTGTCACCTTCTCACATAAAAAAGTCACGATCTCATAAGAAAGCTAGAGAATCTGACTGCTACCTGCGGTCGTGGGTTAAATTAAGGACGAAATAATTAGCAGCCGCTATCAGTCTCGATAAAGTTTAGAGTATATTGGTATCCTTAACTTTTACTCTACCTACCTCCTTATCTTATTAAAAGGGTAGTGGTACAGTAAATTTTTTAGAAGATGCTTAATTGGAGGTACTAAAGTAATTATTTTGGTAAAGCTCTGATGTTAGTCAAGTAATTCTTTTTTTATTAGAACCTAATAAAATAGATAGGTGATCAGATGGAAAACGTGTTGATCCAGAAAAACCCTATTCACTCTTGCTTTGAACTTTGAAACCAATTGGTATATCATTTTGGTTCATAACATGGACATCTGAAGGTTTGCGTTCCCAGTCTTTAAAACTACGGACCTCGGTTACCTCGCTCACCAGACGAAACGCAATAGTATAATATTTAACTAGTATAATACCTCTATTTCACGCTGATATTCTTCGAGGCCGTGGAGGAGCCCATACATTTCACCAGACGAAACGCAATAGTATAATATGTAACTAGTATAATACCTCTATTTCACGCCGATATTCTTCGAGGCCGCGGTACTTCCCCGGACGAAGCCGTTCTATTCTTTGAGGCCGTGGACGAGCCCATACATTTTTACAACGCAGGAAGTGTTCAAGTTATACGGAAACGCGCTTACATTGTGGGGGTTGAAGTGGCCTCCGTTGTTGCCGCAGCCGCCGGTGATGTCGCCCTTCTCGTATATGTGGAAGCCGTAGTGGCCCGGGGGCATGCCGACGATTACGCCGCTCACCCGGACCTTGCCATCGGGCTGCCTGACGAAGGTCACATTGCCGTGCACCTTCCCGCCGCCTGGTTCCTCCAGTTTCACGATGGCACGCACGTCTTCCGGCTTGACCGGCTCGGTCTGCAGTTGTACACGCTTTATTGACCACCGCAAATACGTAAAAGGAAATGTTGCAAATCACCGATGAAAATGGCGATTTTAATTGCTGACTTATCACGTGGTCCGCCTAGTGACTGTAGTGTTGCTTGGCCCTACCACAGATAAAGACTTAAGAGGTCGATGTCTTCCAGACAACGTATCATGTCGTTGTTCTGTTTTAATGTTGTTTTTTTAAAGAGACTGCCTAGTAGAGGGCATTGCAGTGCGTCTTTAAAAAAGTTATTTTCTGCATGAATCTCAATTAGGTAGAGCATTGTCCACTCACATAGGTGTCGTGGCTATGGTCGTGGCCGTGGTCGTGGCCATGGTCATGGCTGTGGTCGTGGTCATGGGCACCGTGCGCCGCTACCACGGCGACGATGGACGCCAAAAGCAGTAAACGATTCATTGTAAAGTCTGCCGAAAAGATTTTTTTTTATTGAAGCGTAACAACAACATAAGTTTTAATGCATGCCTTTAAAGTTCTTCACCTCTAAAATATAGTAATAATCATAACAGTAAATGTAAGAAAGCACAAATACAATGAAACATCAATTATGAGTAATTTTAATGAGTAATTTAATCCGTGAATCCGCGATAATTCAGAGCAGGCACCCAATGAAATTGGGTCTTCCATCTTTGAATGCCGATTCAACACGCTCTTCACAGTGAAGGAAGATAGTAAGAGGCTGTTCTAAGCATATTTTGCATCTCTAATCAAACAGTTCAAAAGTATACATTATTTAGGCCAAAAGAAACATAATTCTCCTTCCTCGTGTGGAAGGGGAATTACCTTGCTAAATACGAGTATATGAACTTCAAGCACCAAAAGTGCACTAGGAGCCTAGACTTGACATAACGAATAAGACGATGTAGGTGTTTTATTATCATTTTTCATGCGACCCACAGTTAACAAAAAATGGTTTTTTTCGGAAGTATTTAATACGGGCTTACGCAAGAAATTGTGACCAAATTAGGCATTACTTCTGTTTTTTATCGCGGGATGCAAGATGATTCCTCATAATTTACTTTGATATTAGGCAGACTTTTGATCTATATACTAAGAGTATTAATATAAATCATCATTAAGATAAGATGGCAACGAACGCAACGGCTATTATAATAGTTTTATAGTTAAGTGGGTTTTTACAACAATCGCTCGCCGCAAAATCGATTTGGATTAACGATTTTCTAATTAATCGTGGTCATTGATGTAATGAACATATAATATATAAGTTACAATCAATGCGACTATATTTGTGAATTAATCATTCAGGGATCCTAACTGAGCCCTAACGTTCCGGTAAATTTCACTGATAATAGAACAGATAAGAGAAGAAAGAAAGTACAAGTATATTATTCAAACAATACTCTGCTCATGTAGTCTGACAGAGCGTTCCACATAGTAAATGTAATTGAAATCTATTCATGTAGTCTGAAAGATGGGTCCACACAATAAAGGTAATTGTAAATGTTTGTAGATAAATGAATAAAGACCTTCGGTGCTGCAGGATTCGAACCTACGTCTTCTCGTTTCGCACCTAGACGCTTCACCAACTAAGCTAAGCGGTCGATGACCTCACGGCGCGAAAATCTTGATATCTATCGTAGTATACTATCTTACATACCATATAGCACAATTAAGTTCGCTCAAAATAATGCACTTTACAAAACGTGTTCCGTCTACAATAAACTTGTTACCAACAATCATTCCATAGATATATTCTTCAAAAACTGAATACATTCAAACAAAGCATCACATATTTTTATAAGTTTTTAATTTTGTATTTAGGAGTTTTTTTAGTCTAGTGTAAATTGAGGTTAAATTAAAAAAAATATTTACATATTCTTACCCTTACATTAGCAATGTACCACCCAAGGCACATCCATTAACACAAAATAAATCGAGAAAGATTGGCAATGTTCAAAATATAAAATTGATGAACCATCAATTTTCCGGACAACTAAATCTTACAAATTTTTTCTACTATTTTTTAAAAGTTCTTTACTGACTCTAAAACAAGAGTAAATTAATAGAATTACCAAATCCAACCAAAAATGGGTCTGCCAATCCAAGGGTTAATAATCAGCCGTTTACCACGAAAGGTATTTTTCTCCAAATTTTTACTGTGATATATCTCGATATAATTAGTGCTTGAGCTTTGCAAACTTACTAACAAAAGGAGCGGACTAATATCTTAAGTAAGTATTTGAATTTTTGAGATATTTTAAGACATTTAATGAAGAAATCGGAGTCCGTGATCTATCACGGCGTATGTTTTGGTATACTATATTATTCAAATAACAATTACGATTAAATTTATAAAATATTTTTTATTTATTTTTAAATCAATTTTGGGATCAAAAATGAAACTGCTTATGTAATACTGGGATGATAAAAATAGAAACTTAATATATCATTACACGGACTAGGTACGCAAACTGACCTGGTGAAATGTTGGTAGGCGTCTGTCTCACTGTACACCGGGTACGAACGTATCTAAACGTACAACCAGTAGGATTGAAGAAAGTAAGAACTTATTTTTGTTATCTATAACTACAGATAAATAAAATTGGAGTGTCTGTTTATAATATTAAAATATCCGCTTTTTACTAAATGCATATGGATGTTTATACGTGGTACGTGTAACAAAATACGTTTATTACAGTTTTTTTTCTACCTGTCTGTCTGTTTCTTCCGGCTAATCTCTGAAACGGCTGGACTGATTTTGGCGGGACTTTCACTGGTAGATAGCCGATGAAATAAGAAGTAGGTTTAGACTACTTTTATTTTATAAAATTCTATTCATTTTAAATTGCACGCGGACGAAGTCGCGGGGCACAGCTAGTGAAGAATAAATCAATGATAACCGGGGTTGAGGGAGATAATGCTGATGGCATTAAGTCGGCCTTTTACATATTGTGCATAAAAAATAAATAAATAAATCGATAGAATAAAACAATGAGTGTACTCACCTTACGTCTTCGAAACTCGACTGAAGACGCCTCGATGCGACTCTCCCTGATATAGTGTAACGATCCGCGTTATCGATTGAAAAAAACCTATTTTATTATTATTTTATTTAAGGTTTTCCCCCTTGCATATTAGTGTGATGCCTCGGAGAAGTGTCGTAACCAGTTTGCTCAAATCGCTCGAGCTAATGGGATAGATACGAGATAGATGAGAAGCGATTTAACTTCAAATACAAAAATTTTATATTTTTTCACTATAATAGTAATACAGTGAGATTTAATACTAAATTGTATGGGTTGCATGCAACGTTGCAAAATAAAAAACAAATACTCAGTTGAATAGTTCCATCATAGCTTTATTATATATAAAAGTTTTAATTCCTGATGTTTTGTAATCACACAAACGGTCTTTTTAATTATATTATTTAAAACACTTAACCAAGAGAAATGACGAAAATGGCTAGTGGAGAAATGACTAGTGGTATAATCAAATTAAAATAATAAATGTGAGTATGTATGTTGGTTCTGCGCCGCAACGGCTGAACGGATTAAAAACGAATTCAGAATAGTTTTTTTTTAGAGTTCCGTACCCAGAGGGTATAACTATAAATATTCACAGATGATGTATTTCTGTTGCCTCTATAACAACAAATACTAAAAAACAGAATTAAAAAAATATTTAAGTGGGGCTCCCATACAACAGACATGATTTTTGCCGTCTTTATAGATGGTACGGAACTCTTCGTGCGCGAGTATGACTCGCACTTGGCCGGTTTTTTAAAACAGATATTGTATGTATTTGATGGTTATGGTTTATTGATCATCATCGTTGTTCTTCGAGATTGAACCTGGATCATTCGAAATCGACATCGTACTACGAACTACTCTTTTTGTCATCAAAATTCTAACCGCAGCGATTATAATTCAGGCTAAGTCAGAATAGTTAAAAACTGCATACTAAAATTACCTGTGAGTCGATTGGAAACATGTTTTTTGTCCTTTATTCCCCACGGTGACTTTGAAGCGGCTTTGAAGAGTTCACATTGTCTTTTAATTGTAAAAAAATATAAACTCCAGGATCATCTTATGTCATTGCGAATGTCTTTTATTTTATTCTTTTTATTTACTTAGGATAATAAAATAAAAAAAAAACGAAAAAAAAATCACTTCTATCCATATACTCGTAGGGACCATTACAAAAATGTTACGATCGAATATTTAGGAGTTGCAAATTGTTGGAAAAAATTAAACAAAAGACATTAGGGAAAAGCTGACATAATAACAATGGTTTGTATTTATTTAATTTAAATTCCACTAAAGTTGTACAAAAGCGAGCTTAATGTTTGTTCTAATGCATTCTCTAGCAGCTAACTTACTAGGTAAAATAGAAAGTGAATGATTAGGGCAGTAAGTCAGTTATAAACGCTAAGTATGTAATATTTGTACCTTTTATAATAATTGTACCTTTGTGTAATTTTTCGTTACTTTTGTAATTTTGTCTGGTGTACAATAAAGCGTATTTCATTCATTCATTTATGTATTATATACACACTGATAGTATTCAGACTCAACACGACTAACAGCTAAGAAGCTATGCGATTAATTGAAAATTAAATATCCTGGCACGACTATTGCGAATAACACTTTTGTATTTAATTTGACCGCTTTGTCTTAGAGACTCGTTTTATGAGGAAAATAGGCAAACGAGCAACAAGGGTCATCTGACGAAATACAAAAGTATAAATTCTTATAGTATATGCCAGTCTTCTGTGACCCATCGTCCAGAGTGTGGTCCTTGTACTGTGACACTACGAAAAGTTGTACTATTTTCATATTCTAATTATGTGTAAACTTTTTGTATGTCTGGACGTGTGAGAAATTATATGGAAGTATCACATATATGTATATTCGTACTAATGTACATTTAAAGTGACGTGCTAAAAACACGGTGTTAAAGCAAATAATGCTTTTCGTTTAATACTGTACTGGCTTGGCTTATCCCTGAAGTTTTAAATTGCTTATACTATCGAGGCAAACAGCGTATGAGTGCTTGGAAGGGAGGAGAAAGAGAAAAACTGGCCAAGTGCGAGTCGGATGGCAAAATGGCAAAAGGAATGGCAAAAAATTATGTCTGTTGTATGGGAGCCCCACTTAAATATTTTTAATTCTGTTTTTTAGTTTTTCTTGTTATAGCGGCAACAGAAATACATCATCTACGACAATTTCAACGGCATATCACGGTTCACGAGATACAGCCTGGTGACAGACGGACAGACACACAGACAGAGACAGCGAAGCCATGTAATAGGGTCCCGTCTTACCTTTTTGGTACTGAACTCTAAAAGAAAGCCGGTCAATCGAAGATCTAGTTGTCCGATAAGAGAAATAGGAGAAAGAAAGTAATTCATATAGCGCAACCTCCTCAAAATGTCTTCTGTAAAAAACAAAGGCTAACTTCTATACACCTGTTCTTTAGTCCCAATCAAGCTAGATTTATCAATGAGCCTCTTCCTTTTGAACATATTTATATGAAAAACAAATGGTAAAACCCGTCGACATCTAAAATTTCTAAAGTTTCATCCAAAGTTCCATAAAGAGTGGAAACAAAAGTCATATTTCTACAATTCAAGTTTTACTATTGCTGTGGTATGCGGACGACGACTCCGGCTTTTCTGGTTGCCTATAATCATTTTAATTCAAGCGGTGAGAAATGTCCTTGAAAGCTGGAAGATGTAGGATGTATTCAAATGGACCCGTAAGTCCAAAGGCAACGTTGTTTGTACGTACACAAAGCTTACAAACCATTGCCATTGAACGGAAAAAGATGTCATAATGCTGAGCTTTTCAATATAAAATCTATGTAACTAGTAGTATATAAAGGTACTTGATCCCAATAAACTGAAATAAATCAGTTTATAGGTGCGAGAAGGTGGCAAACAAGCTGGCGGTTCACCTGATGTTAAGTGTTAAGCGCCGCACGTTGACATTTACAACGTGCGTAGGGTTTCAAATGCGTTGCCACGTTTTAACAGACAAAAAGCAGAAGTATAACACTTCCACTGAGGTCTTCTGTGAGGTCGTAGTACTTGATCGGATGGACCTGCCCATTCGGGTAACGAAGACTATTGCGTGGCCCAATCACAATGACAAAAATGCTTGCGTGTTTATTTAGGTTAAAATGCTTGCAAGTCAATTATTTATGGTGCGCCATAGAAACTAGTGCATTGCTGTCGATCAATACTCATTAATTAATTGCATTCGGAAAGACGAAGCTGCATTTTGAAACAGGCTGAAGTAGAATTGGCGGCAGAGGAGTTTCGCCTTTGTGTCATTACCTTACGACACATATGAGATGTATTTTAGATATGGTCTTGCTCATGGATACCACAGTAAAGCGCAGATGTCAAGAGTGCAGTGTAAAATGAACTTTATTGCACAAGTTTAAGATTGACTTTAAGTCTTAGTCTTTGGCAGCAAAGGCAAAGAACAAAGAAAAGACAGACTCTAACGTGTGGGTAGAAAGACACCTGGTTTCCCACGCTCTAGTTTTTGTATGATATAGACCTGGGTGAATAAAATAATGTCTGAAAGGAGTAAGACCAACAAAATAAGGTTATTCTTCTTTTTTTTCACAAAAAAAAAACAAATTCTTTTTTCCACTTCTGATGTTTGAAATTCTTTCAAAGCCCGAACAAAATATCGTTCTTGGCTTGAAATTCCAGGGCCTGTGCGAAGCCTGAGATATGATACTTGAAATCCATATTCTGTTAGTAATTTTCCCGTAAAATAAAAACTTAAACATTATACAATAATTTACAGATTAGTAACTGATTGTTGTGTTTTTAAGATTCTCCCAAAAAATAGTGTTCACTTTATATTATCTGACGTTCGGAATAGTCAGAGTCTATAGATGATAAATCCGATTTAATTGTTTGCCCATATCTAATTATTTTTAACATTTGCTTTTGAATAAATAAATTAAAAATTATTTTTAATAGTATTTGTATATGTTTGTTAATATTCCCTTCAACATAGATTAAAATACCAGACTACAGTATGAAAACTAAAATTGTATACATACTTATATACCCTTAATATTTCTAAAGTTCTAAGCTACAAGCGATAATAAGGGTATATTAAATTTCAACTGTTCAAAGTACACAATCATTACAAAAAATGAGACATATATGTAAAGTAAATAAATATCCCATTAGTGGGTAACGATCTTTTAACAAAGGGAATAAACAAGATACAAGTTCATTGTGAAATAGCGGCACTTCGCTATCTCGGAAATAATTATCTTTGTTATCAACGGTTAATACGGTGATTTCCTCACCATGTTTTCTTCATTAGTATGTAGTAATTAACTAAGTCAGATAAGAGTGCAATGATATCAGGATAATCTTACTCCTTTGGGTAAATTTATACTGGAGTCATTGTTAGAGCATTTCTGTCCTTGATAGAGATAATTTTATAGGGTATGTATTCCGCTCCCGCTTATGATTGCGCGTGGCCTTTAATGACCACCGTCCCGTCATTAGATGATCGATAACTCACCCACTCATCGCTTAAGTCGCCTCACAGCCGGACACACGCGTTCACCATGAAACCGCGGAGCGTCCGTTGCATGAAGTTCTTTCTAACATTGTTCAACATAATATGCATTGTGAGTTGAGCACTGTTTTTTGATTGGCTGCTAAAAATTAAATCACTTGATTTTTTACATGATTTAGTGTTTTACCTATTTATTTTACGTTTATTTATTAGTTTATTATAAGTGTTATCATTTTAGTTTGATTACGATTGAATTTCATTTTTTATGGGCTTTAAAGTTTAGTTTCTCTTACTCCTGGCACCTGTAAACTAGAAAGTCTGTCTGTTTGTTTATCAATGGGTTACTATAGCTTTTAGCTTATTTTTCGTTCATAGGTTTTCTTGAAGTATTTATATACATCGAAATGTCTTAAATATATATTGATTTTAGTTTTCTACTGCTGTCGTATTGATCAGATTATTATCACCTTTTGTGATACACCGTTAAAAAGCCATTCGTAAAGGTTTCTAGTTCATAAACAATTAAGATTTATATGTGCGTGCTGAGTTGCCATGTTCTCTTTTAATTGCTTTTCATCATTTATTTTTTTATTTTTGGTATTTTGTTGCCTGTACTCCGAAATAATTACTATTGCTTGTCTGTGTTAAAAGAAGCGATGTTACACTAGCACATAATATTATGAAAATGAAGTTTATAAATATCTTGGGTTCATTCAATATTTACGAATAAGAGACTAAACCCCATTATTCCCGTACGTACAAAAAATCAGAACAGATATGTGTTAAATTCAATCGAACTGGTTGAACTGCCTTTAAAAAAAAAAAAGAAAACTTTCAAAGATGGCGCCACTTTCCAGCTGTTCGGCTTGGTCTTGATGGCGGTATGCGCGATCAACGTGCGCGATTTCAAGGCCGGGCCCGAGCCGGCGCTGTCACGGGGCGTCCTCTCCTTCCTGCTAACCCTGGGCCTCGGTTTGGTCGTCACAGCTGTTGTAGGTTGCGTCGGTGCCCTGAGGGAGAACGTCAAAATACTCTACGTGGTAATCGTTCGTAGTATCACTACGTAGTATAAAACAAAGTCGCCCCGCTGTCTGTCTGTCCCTGTGTATGCTTAGATCTTTGAAACTACGCAACGGATCTCGATGCGGTTTTTTTTATTAGATAGACTGATTTAAGAGGAAGGTTCATATGTGTAATACATTGCACCAGCGCAAAGCCGTGGCGGGTCGCTAGTAGTGACATAAGATGCTTTTAAGCCCTTTTGCTCGTTGCTTCTTTAAAAAAACCCAAGGGACAGATAGAATGTGAATAAAATGTACCTATTAAATATACACAACCGTCAAAAAACATTAAACCTATTTATGTATCACGTTCTTTTTTCGTTGGGCGACCTTTGAAATACTACTTATATAGGGCAAGTGATCAAAAAATCATTAATGTGGCCTTCGGACAGCACGCGTGCTTCTTCATTTTCCTGGTGTCGGTGGAGGTGGTGGTGGCGGTGGGGGCGGCGGTGCTGAGCGCTTGGATGGGGCTTGGTAGCGAGCTGAGGGTAAACTTTTACAAGAATTCCACGGCGGTGGTCGACGATTCTAGTCAGGCGTACTGGGAGCACTTGCAGTCCGAGGTACTGCCGGTTCTTGTCTTACACTTATGCCCGGTTCCTGTATTCAACGAACGGCCGTTAGTTACATGGCTTCGTAATTTTCATAAATACTTTACTACTTATTTAATACACCCTACATTTTAAGTTCTTGTTAATGGAAGGATATAATTATGGGCTGTAGATACACGTAAGTTATTTTCTTCAAGTAGTTTGATTCAATAAAATTATGCATTACGATTAAATAACCATCGGTCGTTATAAAACGCATAGTTTAATTCGATGTAAGGTGGGCAAAATTATTGCCTTGGATACTTTTTTTTTATTATTTTTATGGGGTTTTTATCTATAAAGATACGCCAACACCATCGTAACTTATACTTACATACACTTAAAATGAAAAACTTCATTGGTGCCGGCACCGGGGATCGAACTCGGGTTGCTCGAGTATATTGAATTAAATGCGAGCGTCCGCACACTGAGCTATCACTGCTCTTACTTTAGTTAGTTTAAGTTAATTAAACCTTAACTTTCTCAGAACCAGTGCTGCGGCGTCGACGGCCCTCAAGACTACGAACTCATCCACCGTGACATTCCACCTTCGTGCTGCCCAAGCACCCATCCCCTCAGAGACGGCGGTGCTAAGAGGCATCTGCATACCAACTGCGTAACAGAGAGGTCCTACTACACGAGAGGCTGCGACGAAGCCTTGCGCCTGAGGAAGGCTTTCAAAGGCAAAATCTTCATCACCACCGGGGTCATCTTCATCTTGATTGAAGTGAGTTATCTTGGCAATTGAAATAGATGGCGAACGCGCTATCGATTTATGGTAACTGATCACAGACAACTGTGTATCCACAAATCCAACAGCAGATTTCTTTTTTATGTTAAAAGATGATGTTCTGATGTTAAGAGATTATCGCACATCTGAAACACTATGGGAGTTGCAGATCCTTCGCCAAACTATACAAAGTTGGGCGTTGATTACCTCACTTAACAGAGTACACGCAGAAGTATAAAGTTTCCGCTTCACGCTTGTCTTCTGTGAGGTACTTCCCCGGATATACGCGGTCTAGACGCTTTACCAACTAAGCTAAGCGGCTGACAGTTGGTAAATCGTCTGGGTGCGAAACCGGAAGACACTGGATCGAATTCCGCTGAGACGAAAGATTTTTTGCCTTTATATTACAAAACTCACCTTTTAACATTCATCTTGAGTGGAGAAACGATTTATGGTAACTCACAGACACTGTGTATAAAAGATGATCTGATGTTAAGAGATTTGCACATCGAAACACGTTTGCAGATCCTTCGCCAAACTATACAAAGTTGGGCGTTGATTACCTCACTTAACAGAGTACACGCAGAAGTATAAAGTTTCCGCTTCACGCTTGTCTTCTGTGAGGTACTTCCCCGGATATACGCGGTCTAGACGCTTTACCAACTAAGCTAAGCGGCTGACAGTTGGTAAATCGTCTGGGTGCGAAACCGGAAGACACTGGATCGAATTCCGCTGAGACGAAAGATTTTTTGCCTTTATATTACAAAACTCACCTTTTAACATTCATCTTGAGTGGAGAAACTAACAATATAAATGATATGACATCACGGATTCGAACCCGACGTAGGGGTATTTTACGTAAGGTAACATTTCTTTAAGCTTGGTGAAAGATAACATTATTTCGTCCACATGAGAACTAAAAGAAACGAATACGTATTTGTACATAGATATGTATGTTCTTCAGATCCTGTGCATCATCCTGGCAGTATGGATGGCCAGGACCTTAAAGTCGGAGCGCAGACGACTGCAGCAGAATTTGCAGGCGCACTTTGAAAGTTAAATGTTCATGGCGAAGATAATGTTAGAATAACTCACAATCAACCGTGCATTCAACACATTTTAATATAAAAAGTGGTTAATAAGTTATAGATCGAGTTATATTGATTAATGGTCATAATTATATTGAATAAATGAAATTGATAATCGTGATGAAATATCAATTAATCTGATAATACTCGATTATTATAATTCTTTAATTGGAATTACAAAATAAACTGTATCTAACTTTGGAAAATTCAAAGCTTGGCATAATAAATACTAATTAACCATTACAATCGATAATATAACCTTTATAGTAATTAGTCACATTCGCACTTTCAAAATTTGTCATTCCACATCATACAGAAATAATATAATAAATTTTTACTTATAGTAAGTTATTTTTCAATGAAAATGTTGCCTCGAAATCTCTACAACACTAGCTAGTCTGTGATAATAAAGTAGTTTGTGTGAATAGTAACAAATATTTAAATATAATTAAAAAATGGAAAAAAAAGTGTGTGCGTGTAACCTTTACGCGCGATTGAAGTAAAACTTCTTTGGCGTTGGCGGCATATATCACCGAAATGATGAAATATTTAGTAATTAATAAGTATATGTCATATTTACGTCGTAAGTATATGTATTCCTTCAGAAAAATCGTTACTTCCGTCAGAAAAAATCTGAGTTACTCCCTAGTCGCGCCTAAAGAAGTTTTACTTCAATAATTATTGTTTCTTACTTAAATAAGGGAATGTTTTGTGTCTTAGAATGCGCTAATCGCATGCATTTTTTCGTCAGAATTATTTTAAAATCTGCGTGCTAATTCGATTTTATTAATTTTGAACATGTAAAAATTTTACAATCCATTTCTGAAAGCAATAAAATTGCTATTAAGAATCTTCAGTACACTTATATTTTTCAAATTTAATTAAACGTTGTTGCACCGTTTGAGAAGACTTACAACGCACGAAATTCCATCATATATTTTAATTATATCTCAATTCTCAATTGCAATAAAATACAGTTTAATTTCATAAAAATTACATAAAATGGGACATTAAGCGAACCTGAATTATTTTTTAATTCTTGTACTCTTGGCTATTTGATGTGTAATGTGTTGTTGTGTTTGTTAACTTTTAGTCAAATTTGTGAAAACTTACGTTTATTTTATGAAGTTTTTTAAGTTTTACTCATAAATTTTTGAACTTAAAAATTATTGTTGTTATTTTAAAATGAAGATTAATTTTTAAAAATGATATAATTATGTTTGTTAAACATTTTGAGTTCGAGGAGTTTATTAATATGTAATGCTTAGATAATTCAAATAAAACGTAAAGATAAGTAGAAAATAAAAAAGAATAAGGTAAATAAATAAATAAATAATAAAGCTGTGGTGACAATGCCAGGGGGACCAATATAATGGTATTATGTATCATAAGTTAGTAGACAAAATTGTCTTACTTTCGCAATGACATTAGCTAAAACACAGCAACATGAGTTTAGGATAAACACAATCTTACATTAAATTTTAAATAAGTATTACTAGTATTAAGAAATGTAGTTTCGTAATCTCTTGCTTTCATCTTGTTGCCATATGCATGTCTACATTAATTCATAAAACACTGACTCATATTCATATATTATCTTTACGTATTAATATTTTCTTTTAGTTAAATTAATTGTGTTAAAAGAAGGTTGTTCATCGCTGCCGAAGATCGAGACAAATACTAGGGAATGTAGAATATTGTCCTTCTGACGGCCTTGGGACTTGTCACTGATGTCTCATCGATGAATCACGCTGGGGTCCATCCAATGCCATGACCTACAAGAACAAGAAACTATTTCCGCCATTTTCAAACTTGTCTCGTGCAGTGTAATGTGTTCCTTCTGTTTATTTATACATATTTCTCATTATATTAATTAATGATTGCATATAAGAGTTTTCAATCGATAACTTTAAATGCATTTATATATATTGATGATTATAAATAGGAGTTACATAAAACTATATTTCCGTACATGCCGTACACGGGCTTTATGTTTTTAACCTACCTTTATATTTAAGAATAACGCTTAAGCAGTTTTAATATTTTTAATTTATTGTACGTATTTCTGAACAAATGAAAACAAGCTTCGTAAACGGATAAATTTATTCATTTGAAAGATCACAATAGACATTCATCGAACACTAATAAAATTTGATATTTCGAATTAAAACAGTGGTTTCATTTGACTTAAATTGAGCGACACGTCCATTTACGTACAATTTAAAGTAAATGTTACACGAATAAGTATCCTTTAACGCAGAGCATAACCTCAGATAAAACTATTCTATTTTCACATGAGGGCATCAATTGTTACTTTGGTGTACAGGTATCTTGAGAGATTTTCATTGCCCTTTTTAACTAATGACTACTAAACAAACATAAATAATGCTTACAATAGTAACTATGTTTAGACTCTTATTAAATGTCAATATCAAATATTAAAAGATAATCCTCTGATTTGTTTTAACTTATTATATATTAGATTCGACGAGGGACGAATGTATTTTTAAAGCTATACATATTTATAGATATATCAATAAATTTAATAGATTTCATTGTTAGAAACGAATTTTACTACGAAACATTTCAGTATTCAATTTTTATAAATTCTGACAGTACCGCAAAACGTAATCACTTAAATAAATTCACTTATGTTACAGATCTAGTTAATAATAAAATTTCTTAATTACTTGTTCCATAAGTTTTATAAATTCAAAGTGCAGCTAACATGATAAACTCTTCACAAGAAAACGTTATTTTATTATCTATATTCTAAAATTTCACAAATATTAACAATGAATAACTTTAATCACTATAACCTACTTTCAAAGATTATATTATGGAAAAACATATGTATTTATATATTCATTACATATTTTAAATGATGTAAAAACTAAAATAACGAAACTGTAACAGACTAGGATTCATGTTAATAGTTTTCATACGCGTTTATATTTAACTAATACTTAAAACAAAGGCATTAATTGTTTTCATGAATAAAAATTTGTTCCTATAGATTATGTAATCATTTTTATATCTGTGACATTTCTTTTTCTAGAATAAGTGTCAGTTTCCGAGCGAGAGTGCGCTATTTGACAATGGAAATCGATTTAAATAAAATCTTAGTGGCCAACTTAAACAGTCTCAACATACTTTAAACATTTCTATTTTTTCCAATTGTTTTCACAGATAACTTAAGCTTTAACAGATTTAACTTTTAATTAAACTAACGCTATACTAGACTTATTTCCGTGGAAATTAGTTTCTTTGGTTGCAATCTAATGATGGTGTTACGGAGAAATAAAAATAAACAAAACTGTCACAGTTCTGTACTGAGTAATAATAACACATAAAAAGCGTCTTCTTCTCTGAATAAAGTCTGAACAGAATTTTGTCAATGTCTTATAATACTCTGCCAATATCAATCCAAATAAAATTATGAATAAATACTATAGTTTACATTATCCGCACAAACAACAAAAGAAAAATGTAACTAAAAGTTATAAAACAAGCACCTTTGTGAATCCAGTAGGTAATGTAATAACACTAATGACTAAACAATATAAATAATAATTTAGTTACAATTTAAGTATCACTAACTAAATAGCAATTAGTAAGGAAACCCGGTGGAATGCTTAAAGAGGTAAGTGTTTTTATTGTTATAATAATTTCCTTGAAGGAACACATCTCTATGTATGTTTTATTTTGAGTTACACACAGTACTTCTATAAATATTTTTTTATTACCGTTAGCAAATAAAAATCATTTATTTATTACTTACAAATACAAATTTCAAAATATGATGTAAAGAAAGAGTTAAAGAAATTTGTTAAAAGGTTGATTCAGTACAACAATATTTTTATGACATTCAAATATAAGTTCTCCATAAGCAGAAAAAGAAATAAATAACTAAAACTATGTTCAAAACTTGGATAGTTCCTCAGATAGCGATTTTTTTTTTTTACTTTAAATTATGTTTTGCCGTAGACTACTAAAACTTCGACTAGGGCTAGCCAGAACCTACGAGACTGATACATCTTCTTGTATCTTGTATTAACTGATGTTTTTGCTTTCAGTCCCGAGACTATTAAAGCTTCATCGGACGCAGAACCGGTGGGCTAGCCAGAACCCACGGGTTGGGACCCTCCGCTGTGGGTAGGGCCGCGCATGTGCTCATGCGTGCGTTTAACTACTATGGTGTGTCATCTAAGGGCCGTCGAGGTCGCCGGTTCGGAGCGAGACCCCGACGGCCGTCGACTGTGCATTTAGCTAATCGGTGGCTGGGAGCGGTGAGAACCGCCCCGGAACGCGGGTGTAGCTTGTGCACGCGTTGTGTGGGTCTCGCCGTGCTCGGAGGCGAGGGCGAACTGGGGTGATTGTTGTTACACTAACTGTGGTTGTAGTGTTATCCGGCGGGATCCCCGGCGGTGGGTTCATCGTGACTGATACAGCCTTTAAAGATGGTTAGGTCCGCGCATGTGCTCATGCGTGCGTTAACTATGGGGAGGAAGGTCACCTACGGGTCATCGAGGTCCCGATGGCCGTTGACTGTAATAATCGGTGGCTTGGTGCGGAGAGTGCTATACGCGGGTGTACCTTGTGTACGCCATATTGGTTGCGCCGTGCTTGTAGGCGAGGAGGAACTAATACTAATAAACAGGTTATAAGGTTATTACTAATAATAATAAATAGGTAATATGTGTTAGCACTATGTGTGGGCAAAGTGTCGTCTTTCGATAGATACTTTATGTAAAAACAATAGCTTACAACTTGAAAGTTGAAAGAGTTTCAAATCGCGAAACATTAAGAATAGGTAACTCATTGTTAGTAGGTACTTAAGTAGTTTTTAACTTCCTAAGTGGAACTTCATAATACTATATTACACCGAAACGAACATTACCGACATTGTTAGCGTTGTCTTTGATATAACAAATAAAGCCAAAAACACCAGATGCATGCCTATTTAAAACTAACGGTTTTAACCGTAAAATTGTTTACGACTAAAGTGCTTTTTAAATGCTCCGGACGTTTCCCGATAAGGCGCCCCTTGATTACGCAGTTTCGCGGCTCTTGCCGTGTGTCTTGATTGCTTGCGCCAACCACAGTGCGAGCACGATACCGGCGATCTGCAAAGCAAAGCAGTCCAGACCTTGTTAGACTCTAACTAACCTTACCTAAACCTGTAAGCAATAATTCAGACGGACACCTAACTAAACAATATTTTCTTGTAGTTCCTTCTTATCTCTATTTGTTTGCTGTTGTTGTAAAAAATAACTGATAGGTTTAGTTTTTGATAAACTGCAAACTGTCATTTGTACCCCTCATCCGCGTATGTATTATATCTTCTTTGGAGTATGTATATTTTAAACTGGAAAGGTTTGATGGATGGAAAGGAGACACCACTATGAATTCAAGTTATAACGATAACTTTGATTCGCCTTGCCGTTGAGGAGACTGTAAACTAGAAACTAAACGATCTGCATATTTTTAACGGCCTAATATGGAGCTAACGTACATCCTTGTTGAACCCAGACAATTCAAGCAGCCTGAGTGGCCCCAGCCACGAAAACCGACAAACCAACGAATCACAGCTCACCTCTAGAAAGCAGAAAAGGATACCGCAGACGATCACGGTCAACCCAGCGCTGTGCACTGTGCTGAGGACCTTATCCTCGCATCCCTCCTTGTAGTACTTCTCCATCGAGAGGCAGTCGGAGCGTTTGATCTCGTCCGCCTGGTCGGAGCTGTCCGGCGGGCAGCAGCTGAATGAGGGCTTCAGGCGAGGCTCTGACGCGCCATAGTTCTCGGGGCCGGTCACGCCGCAGCACTCCATCTGAGGAGGTCGATACAAATACTGCCTTCTGGTTCTTACCACTCGACTGAGCTTGGAAAGAGTTAACGCGTTAAAAATAAGTGAACAAGGCAGTGAGCAAGTAAACGCATCTCCATACCAATTCGATTGAGGATATCCTCACAGACATATATAACATTTTTTTTATTTTTTTTAAACACTGTCCACACTATAGGATAATGTAGGATATAAGATTATCCTGAGGTGTCGCTTCCTTAAACCCAAGGCTAGGTTTCAGGTGTAAATAGACGCTATTAAGTAGATGCCGTTATTAATTTGGGAATCATCAAAGCCAGAGATCTTGACGCTTCTACTAAAAATGACAAATAGACTAAATGACAAATGGTAATATAAAGACTAGAACTGTCATATTAGGGATCGTCTTGTTGCGTTCAAAATAGGTACCTTTATATAACTATTTCTGATAAGTTCATTGTCAAAAGCCTTTCAAAATCCTAAAAGTTGGCCGAAATCATTGATGTTATTGGAACTCTGAGTGGGGTATCAATGTATTTCAAATGAAAAATCAACTTTTTTAAAATACCACAGGTCCACATGAAGATTGAAGAACTTTTGAAAGTCAAAAAGACTAACGATGACAATGGAGATAGGTGGTGGATTGCTATAGACTAACCAAGCACCTTCAACAGCTATCGGGGTCATGGTCCGCACCGAACCTCGATAGCCCCTACGCGAGACTCCTTAGCTGACGCACGCATGACCACATGCGTGGCCCTACCAACTGTCGACAACCTCAAACCCGTGGGTTCTGGCTAATCCACCGGTTTTGCGTTCGATGAAGCCTTTATAGTCTCAGAACTGAAAGCGTAAACTAAACTTCAAGAATGTTTGGAAATGATTACGTGAAAATTTATCAAGATTGATTCAAACATTGCCCACATTGCTCTGCACGCGGTCCCAGAATTCCCTGTAGACGGAGTCCTCCTCCCTGGTGGACTTGTTTTTGATGAAGGAGGCACGGAGCTGGGTCTTCATGGTGCCTTCGATCTGCGGCCGGAGGGCAGCCGCCGCGATTCCAACGGATAGTTCCAGGAGTATGATGATTATCAGGCAGCCGGCGAACTGTTCGAATTACCATTATATTATTAGTAAGGTGGCTACGACAATATATTGATGACGCATGTCCATACTGCGTGGCGTTTAAGTTTAATCATGTTGTAAGCGGTTTGGGTTATGTTTTTGCGACCGAAACCTCTTGGGAAACAAACGTCTAGATCCGTGACAGTTATTTGTGGGTCGGACAAATACTTGTCCTGTGTGGGAATTGAGCTCACGACCTTCGACGCCGAAGCCAATAGCTTAGCAACGACGCCATCGAGTCGTTAACAGAACTACATTAATATAATTGAAATCTCATGTCTTTCAAACCTAAAGGTATAGACACATGTGTGATATTGTAAACATTACAAATATAAATTACATAAAGTTAGAAATATACTACTTTTAATACTGCGCTATGCAGCGTTACAAAACTAGGCTGCCATGGTTACATTATGTCAACCGGCGAGTTCAATGACCCAGTTTTTATAGTGCCGTACCCAAAATCGAATTGGGGCCGTAGGTGAAATATCGACAATTGTCACGATACCGGGTGCAATTGTACACGGAAAATAATCAATCCACTTCTAACAACTATACTTCTTTATCCAGTCTACATAAAGTCCCACGATTTTTTAATACTTACTTAATGGAATCTTTTGTGAAAAATGAGTAATTAAGCATTGATATATTACTCTCTATAATTTTTACATAAAATTGAGATTAATATTCAGAATTACAAACATCGCGAATGAATCAATATGACTGACGAATCGATGTTACGTGTAAATGTCAGAATAGCACTGTTATTAATTAACGAAACCGTTAGTGTTCTTTCACACCAAAACTACTGGTCGTAATTCCATTAAGCCTACCTAGTTTAATTGTCTTAGATTTTCAAGGATAATTTTGTGACAAAAATATCACAATTAGTACCGCGACGATCACAAACGGCCACTGTGACCTACTTCACATCTAGAAATAAGCGTGAACTCATAGCGTTTGAAATAAAACTATGACGATTCGAAATAGCAATGAGTTTTCAGCAGTTGTCTATTACAATTTTCTAATGGGTTTTGCGAATTCTTTTTTAAGTATATCACCCATTTAAATATATCATCCTCTCGTTTAATTCGAATTTCAAATTACCCGCGTTCTGAACCTCTTCGCGGCTTCCATGGTCATGTTTTTTTTATGCGAGAAGGAGGCAAACGAGCTGGCGGTTCACCTGATGTTAAGTTAGAACTGCCGCCTATTGGGATTTACGACACCCGTATTGCAGATGCTTTGCTACTTTTTAATGAAGTGGTCCCCGGATACCTCAACTATAAGTATAACACTTACCCTTCGCATCGGTCTTCTGAGAGACCGTGGTAATTACCCGGAAGGAGCTGCCCATTCGTGCAACAGCGAAGACATTTGCGTGGCCCTATCTTATGTTTCTTCCCGTAATAAAAGTAAAATGCCACAGTGAATCTAGATTAATTGTGGCCAATCAGTGGTTATTATAACTAGATGAAATTTACTTTTAAACAGAAGTAATGTACGTCAATTAAACAGAATAAGTCTGTATAATCAGTCTTATGCTCGGTTTCAGATACACTATCATCGTAGAAGTTAACTAATCGGCTGTCAAATGGCTTTTCAAATGTCATTTGAGTTACCAAAAGGATGGTTCAACTCTCTGAATTGATCAGGATGATCTTCTTAATGATCAGAATGTTCAATTCATAGAGTTTAACCATCCTTTTCCAACTTAAATGACATTTGAAAAGCCATTTGACAGCTGATTAGTTAACTTCTACGGTGAACAGTGCTTCAGAAACCGGGCGTTAGCTTGGGATGTTTTTCTTTCCCACTGTGGTCTTGTCTATACGTTACTCACGATGTAGAGCAGCTTGGGGCTCTCCTTCCACGCGCCGAAGCATCCGAACGCGGCCACCACTATGATGAGGACTCCAATGGCTATCAGGACAGCGTCCGTCTCGTGGCCGGACGTCTCCATCCCCGCGAACCCTTGCAGCAGCCCAAGGTCCACGCATGCCGTTGCTATTATAACGATGCCGAAGATCTGAAAAAGAAGACTTCCGTTAGTCTCTTGTTATCTCCTGCTAATTGCAGCATTCCAACTCTACTAACTAAATAATCCAATAAGAAATTGCAGTAAAAAAATAACACCAAATATATAATATAATAATGAAATACGACCTGAACCAATAAATATAACGTTTAAAATAAAGTTGTTAAAAGTATGCTGTCCCATCTTTTTTTTTATTTGACCTTCAGTAGTTACAAATGAGTACTGAGGGAAAAAAAATAATTTACAAGTAGTTAGTGAGCTAGCTCGGGTTAGCAGATGAGGTGTAAAAATTTCAATGTAATAAAATGACATCCTAACTGAGGTAAAGCCACGTAACAGGTTTCGCTATTACAGTACAGTACAGCCGCTACAGTAAGTGACACGGCCCTAATGTTTCTGATATCACATAATCTTTGAAAAATCGGCCAAGTGTGAGTCGGACTTGCACACGACGGGTTCCGTACTATTATCTATAATATCGGCAAAAAATCATCTCTGTTGTATGGGAGCCCCACTGAAATATTTTTTTAGTATTTGTTGTTATAGCGGCAACAGAAATACATCATATGTGAAAATTTCAACTGTCTAACTATCAAGGTTCATGAGATACAGCCTGGTGACAGACGGACGGAAAGACAGACAGACAGACAGCGAAGTCTTAGTAATAGGGTCCCGTTCTACCCTTTGGATACGGAACTGTAAAAAAGACACAATTGTGCTTTAGCCTTGGCGATATCATTCTCTTCGAACAACTTCCGTGAATTGTGTATTCGATCCGTCACGTCACAGATAAATCTTCTATTTCGTTGGCCCACGCGTATTTAGTTACGCGAAAACACGGTCAACACTCTATTGGGTAATAAATAAGGGTCATTTTACATTGAACTATACGGGAAGCTTCGTAAAAATATCATAAAACTTTAGGCGGTTATTTGAGAACGCGTAGTACACATGGTTGATCAAACATAAATCTATTCGTAACGCTAACGCTCCATGTGAACAAACTGCGATGTTAACGCTTCCGTTCGTTTTAATAATCACGTTCCAAATCATCTTGTTTGCGTAAAGAACCTATGGTATGAAGCGCGAATACTGCGTATCATTTTTATAATTCACTTGTTTATTTTACTTTTACACAAATATTGTGTATACGGCAGAATTATACCCGTGGCATTCTACCATACCTAGGTTGGTAGAATGCCACTGAGTCATGTAGAGATAAAAGAAATATGTTAAAGTTAAGAAAAAACAAACAATTGTATACAAAATATATTAATAGTTGCTGTTATAAGTACAAAAAAAAAATAATAATTACGATAGATACAAAATAATGATTGTATTATTTTATACAATGAGTCACGAAAGGCGTACTGCGTCTGAGCCAGTTATATTTTGATTCTGTTTACGTATTTGGAAATCGCGTGATAGGACCAATGCTTGTTTAAGTAGATGCGGGCTTATATGGTTGAAACGTAACGAGCTTACAACACAACAGTACGGCAGGCTTGATGCAAGACGGTTTAATTTATCTTTTTCATAGTTAATATTAACTTATTGTTAATATTAATTCGAAGTATGTTTATTATCAGAATAAGGCGACATTTCAAAGCGTACAATTGGAATAATTGTAACCGGCGGCGTCAGTGTAATCATTGGATAGAACAATTGTATAAAGCTCGGACTATACGAATGTATTTATGAACATAATATGTTAAAATTTTCGTTTACATTCTTACTTTCTTCAATGTTATTATTTCTCTTAAATGTTCAAATTGTTCAAAGTTTTAAAAACATATTCATACATGTATAATTCGCCTTGTAAAGCTGCGACTATACCGATAATTTCTCCCGATTACAAAAAACAGTCATACATTTGTGCGGACGACGACTAGAGTCACCGCCAGTCACTTTTCCACCTAAATAAGCTTAGTTGAGAACTGTCTTTACCTGCTTCATTAGGGTCAAAGCATGTAACATCTTATTGTTGTATGATTTTTCAGTTTATTGAATCAAGTTTCACCCGCGAACAATATAAATGGGATCAAGTGGAATTTTGAGCGAAAGCTAAATTTTAATTGTTGCAAAAAATGATGTTTTTGAATCGCTTGAAAACGAAAGAGATCCAAGAGATAGATAGAGATATCCAAGAGGTTTCTACGACGGTCAATTGACGGTATTCCAAATAATGATTCAGACGATCGGGCGAACCATCATTTTACAAGCGTTAAATGTGCAAATGTTCACCATAGGTATGAACACTTGCAATGAACTAGTGCAATTTACGCTCGACTTATTACTCCCCATTATAGTGTCACAATGGCGTGTCGATCTGATGAGTCTCGTGACGTCACCGTGACATCACCGCGGCTGGCCATTGAGTCATTCCCAGAGTCATTAATGAAGTCAAGTTCGTTCCGTGGAGTCGGTTCAATGCCGGCGCGGATATGGTAGTGGACTTAGAGCTGGTGCGTATTCACAGTTGCACACGTGGGCGGACGTCGAGGTTCGCGTATATATAGATACGTGCGGATGTGTTTCCCATTTTCAACTGCTCTCCGAAATCTCTTTTAGTTTCGCAAATGTCACCGGGGAAATGCAACGGGCTCGCAGACAACAGATTTAGTAGAATAAATTACAACTTTCCCCGTTCCTTACGGTTAGTAAGACCGCCGGATGCTCTCTCCTTAGAGGTTAGCCAAGATAGATAAAATAAATGTATTAAAATTTGTAGAAAAAGTGCGAAAAAATTGTCGACAATCTTTTCGCACTTTTTCTACAAATTTTAATGTTCAATCTTAAGTGCAGAGATTAGCACTATTAAAAAAATAAATAAAAAAAATGTATACTAACAACCTAACTAAAAGGTTAGAAAAGTTAGATAAACAAGATAGGAAATTGTATATTTATACTTTTTTTTAAAAGATTTATTTTAATACTACCTAGTGCGAAAATATAACACTTTTATTCCACATAGAATTCCAAATTTAAATTTATTTATTACTATTAATTTGTTCAATACAAATTAATTTAGGCATAAAGTACTCCTGTGAGACATTTTAATACGCAACAAGCACAGCATAAATTAAAAGAAGCGGTAGGTGATGGTGGACTTATGCCAGTATTTGCCATTACATCTTGAGACCTGGCACAACAATTACTGTGAAGAATTTCAAGGTTACTGGACAATCTCGTTATTAAACAACTGAGACTTGTCAATTGTTTTACTCCTTCTCGACGATGCTCATCCACACACTTAACAATAGACCGCATAACTACTCGTACGGTAGTCAGGATAGATCTGTTTCCGTGATCATAATTTATAAAGTGGAGGCATGAATGAACTTCCTCCATAATGACAAATGTACACTGACAATAACGGACGACACGCCGATTAATAGTAACTTTTAATTAAAAACATTGCCCTTCATAATAATAATTCCTTCTATTCCTTTAAGTGGTCCGAAAGCAAAAATAAACAGTTAAAATTGTTGAATAAATTATGTATGAGGACTGTAAGTACGCTGATATTTATTGTAAGTACTTTCGTTTGTAATAACCCTAATTTCATATCGTTTTTTTTTATACTACTCTATCCCCGATTTTCATCGAACCTTGCAAAAAGATACAAAACATACACGTTCTTATTTTTCAGAATAAAACAAAGATTGTTAAGATTGTTACGAAAGCATTGAAAAGGTAAGGAAAACCCGAAACAATTACATGGTGACTAAAAGCGTTTATGCGGTATAATAAATCCTCTGGCACGTGAATTACTCGTGCACAGTACTCCGATAGCGAAGGTAGTTTGCTTTTAAAATTACAAGGCAACATGTTAAAACCATGAGCGAATTTCACTCAATAAATGTACTGCGAATAGACTGCGACAGACCATAGGTATATAATACTTCAAAAGCGAAATTTACATATAAAGTCACGCAACTTTTTTCGATTTATTCAAGTACTCAAATTGCCATCGTGTTAAAGCTTAACTCTGAATCTTGCACGATTTCTCGTAAATTACTTCGTAACGTAACCTCTGATAAAATTAAAGTTGACCTTTTGTTGATTAGTCACAATTGATGTGCCTAGAAAAAAGATAAGGTATCTGTTCTTTTAACTTATAGGAATGATAATAGTGTAGAACACCATTTTTTGAAGAGATTATTTTGAGAAATAATAATAATTACGATTCAAGCTGTAGATTTCACATTAAGAGACCGAAATTATTCGTCTGTGAAGGTCACTGAATAGTTTCATCGCTTAAAAGCTAACTAAAGCTCTCACAATACGAGAGAGATTTAAGACAGACCGAGACATGTTACCGTGCTTAGAAGTTCTAAGCTCAAGTGTAAGCTAGTATTCGTCACTTACTCATCATACACCTGCCGCAAAGAGAAATATGACGCTAGAAATATGTAAGAAGGAACACCATATGGACTTCACATTTTCGAGGAAGTACTAGAAAGCGCCTCGAACTCATATATATTGTATTAATTGCAATATTATTCTGGTGAGTGAGGTAGACAGAGCCCACTTTAAAATATTGACAAACTGTATCTCAACGTGTATTTTTATTATCTATGGGTTGCCCAAAGAGAATGTAATCACTACGTTTAACGTGGGGTTGCCGTAGTAACGTAACGTCACTTGCATCTTGCACTCTTGCACTTTTGCCACCTTCTCCGGTTAAAAATAAATAAAGTTATCATAAACTTTATAAAAACAATTTAGTTGGTATTGTAGTTTTTAAATAACTGACCATGGAACGTTATTCTATTAAAGTATCTGTCACGGGTTGTGAGAATTTCGCTTAGTGGTTTAATTATGGCCAAAAGAAATGTGAAACTAAGAACATTTGTGTTTGCTACGTCTACATATATGTGCACTTTAATAGAATAGAATAGAATAGAATAGAAAATCTTTATTGATCGTCCACAAACACCGTTTACAAAAATAAAAAGAAATACCACAGAAAAGAGAACAAAATAACT